TTCCCATCCTGTCTGGCTTTGCAGGAGGCGACTTTATCCATGTCTACCCCCTTGTTGCGGAGTTGAGTCAAGAGCTCCGTCATGAACACAACAGCTGCAATGTCCCCAGTCGGAATCAAGTAGACTTCACGCCCATGAGCCAGCTTCCGAAGCCAAAAGTTGTTTGCCTGTTGATACAACAGGGCTGCCACCGGTAATTTCAGAGGATCACATCCTTCAATGTCCAGTTTTTGCGTGAAGGCGGATTGACGAATGCAACGGGGGAAGTCAAGCCGTTGATCTTCTGATTGTCGTAGTGGTCTTTGTCCTCTTGCCAGTGAGGATTGGGATCGAAGCCATAAGTACGGCTGTCATCAGCCGTTGTTTGACCACCCGGTGAGTTCACATATGGAGTGCCAGCTTGACGGGGCTGGGACGAAGGAATGGATGGAGTGCTTGGCGATGCCACTTGAGTAGGTGGACATGGCAATGTGGGTGAGCATGGTGGAGTTTTTGGGCGACCTGGAAATTGATATGCAAAGGTGGGTGGAGGAGATGAAGGAGGTGCCGGTGGAAACCGTGGATTGGGCCATGTGCCCGACTGTGAGGCAGAGATCTGACTCATGGATGGATTTCCAACATAAGGTCCCGACTGTGGTATGTTGAACTGAGGACGAAACTGAGGTCGATACTGAGGTCGTGACATCCGTTGCGATTGCCAAATCGCTGTTTGCATGGGCCCACACCATCGAGGAAAGAACGGCAGCTCTTGTCGTACTGGTTGGGCAGCAGCACCCGGATCAGCTCGGTTGCGTCCAGGCACAGGTGATCTGGAACGATCCGACTCCGCCATGAGTGCGCAGGCAGGTTTGTTTTGGTCGCTGAAAAACTGACTGCAATTCAATGAGACTATGGCAATATGGATAACATGTAAGTTATCCAAGAAAATCCCACAAATTGCAAAAAACTCATGAGGAATAACAACGAAAACCCTCCAGCAAGAACAGACACGAAGACAAGAGGAACAAAAGCAAAAGAAGAAAATGAAACCAGTGCCAATAGAGCAAAACAGATTGAAGCAACCGTGCATTTTGATCCAAAGCTTTTGTCCAGGTAGATCCTAGAAAGGTAATTCGGAGTCCTGTTTAGGCCGAATGTCGCTAAAATTACAAAAAGCAGTCTATGGAAGACTAAATGGTTAGCCTCGACGACGTCGCTCTTGATTGCTGCGGTAGTTGTAGTCTTCTGAGTCAGTGTCACCGATGTCAACTTCTTTGGGCTTTTTGTCGAATTTCTTGGGGCCTTTGAGGTCAGCCCATTTCAAAGCTATGAAGTGTAAGCCCACATGGTTGCTGTGGGCAATCGTGTACTTCTCCGGCGTGGTGACTATGCCTTTTTCCCCACGTTGACTTGGGCTTTTTCGTTGCCACCAGCTTGAAAGCGAATGTGCTCATGGGCTCCTCTATACATTGCGCCCACAGTGACGTCCTGTTGGCCTTTGCCCTTTTTCTCCATGGAATCAAGGAGGACCGTTTCTGTCCAGGTTGGGATTGTTTTGTCCGCATTGGAGATTTCTCTGCCAAGATAGTATGCCCCAAAGGTGGGTAAGTGGCACTTCTGTGGATTCTTGTGGTAAGACCAGTTGGCCGGTCTGATCTTACCTTCCAAGAGGATCAGTTGAGCAGACTTGATGGTTGTACCATGACAGAGTGCCCAGGTGTGATTATGTTGATTGTCAAAAGGAGGTGGCATCGAGAATTGACTGATGGATGGCAATGGCATGATGAGTGCAAGCATGTTGGTATGAGGAAGTTCTCGGACGTAACAAGTGGAGAGGTCGTAGTCCGGAAGAAGGTTGGTGCTGAAGAACAGTTGGACAGCCTTCTCCAGTACATCAGCTGGAATTCTGGAATCGACCTGATGGAGCTGTTCCTTCGCAACATCGTATGGATCTTGTGGAATGGAGGTGGTCGTCTCAGGACGTTCTTCTGCCTTGAGCTCATTGGCAGCTCGCATCCTGTCTGGATGATTCAAAGCATGCTCAATATGACGAGCCCATTCCTCTCTCGAACCATCTTGAAGATTGATGGGAACATGTCCGGGAGGGACAGCACTGGTGGAGACACGAGATTGGATTGAGCTGGATCTGTGTGGAGGTCGACGTGGACGGTCAGAGGAAAATGCAGTGAGAGGTTTGCTGGAAAACTTGTAGGAAGAGTCGTAGTAGCGGTGATGTTTGGAAGAGGTTTTGGGATAGTCAATCCAACCCGATGGATGGGTTCGAGGCTGGGACTTAGAATAGTCCTTCCATTGGTTCCAGGATTTCCACTTGTTTGTGGATGGTTGGTCATAGGATGGGTAGTCATACTGGTAGTACTCGTTGTGGGATGATGGATCTTGATGATAACGTTGGTGTTCCCACGATGCTGGGTGAAGTGTAGCTGGTTCACGGCTGGGTGCATCACGATGTAGATCATCATTGTCTGGTAGTACTTCTCGTCGACGTGGAGAGGCTGACCGCAAATTGACAGAAGAAGCTCTACTTGGACGTCTTGATGGATCCCTCGAAGTAGAATGTTGTCTTCTGTGTGACGACCTTGGTCGAGAGGAACGATGTGTTCGTCTCGGTGGTGTGGCACGACGAGGACTTCGTGGAACAGAGATTGGACGTTTGTCAGGTGCCCCACGGTGCCGGTGGGAGCGAGAGCGAGAGCGACGGTGAGGTTGTTGTGGCGGTGGTGTAACTTCACCCGGTGGAGGAGGATGACTTGGAATAGGTGGAGACGCTTGAATTGGTGGTTGGGCAGGAGCAGGAGGTTGGTTCATGTTGCGCTCTTGGGTTTTGTCCACAAACGCTTGCATACTGGACTCGACTGTGTTCTTCATCTGTTGCATCATCTCTTCTGCATTGAAGGATGCACTGGGTCCCGGTGGTGTGGACTTAGGTGCCACCGGTGTTGGTGGGTCAGGCACTGAAGATGTGGGTTGAGGTGGATGTGGATGGAACGTGGATTGATGGAATGGAAGAAGCTGTTGAAGGTGCTGGATATGTGTCTGAGCTTGTAATCCCAGTTGTTGATTCAGGATGTTATTTTGCTCTCTGAGAGCCACCAGTTGTGCCTGAGTCTGAGCTTGGGACTGAGCCTGTGACTGTTGGTTCATAAGATCACCGCCACAAAATTGACCTTGAAGTCCCATCGCTTGTGGGTTCCAGAAGGTCCACATGTTGTCGGGAACGGTAGGATACCGTCCAGGAAACATGGCAGCACTGTCAGACGATTAAAAATAAAATAAAATTAGTTCAAGCAGGATGCATCCACAATGCATGCAATATTCGTGATAAGGCTCAAAGGCCCTCGGTATTCAAGTCAACCCTATCGACGGCTATCAGTGTTCAATGAATTACGTGCACAGTTGAACCTCACCGAGAAACCAAAAAGAAGTGACCACACCTGTAAAGCATGTCCTGTTACCTGTTCATGTCAAAATGGCTGCGGGTATGCGCTTGGGCTTCACTGAAAAAGGAGGTTGTTGTCGCGGCTTCCAGCTATGTGGAGTATGGTGGAGAAGAAAAAGGTGATGCCCAGTACTGCGGCAAGCAGTTTCAACAATCATTCGATCGACGTGTGAAACAGATGAAAAATGGCCAGCAGTTCACTTTACTTAGACGAATTACTAATTCAAAAGTGTAAATTCAGACATCGTTTTACCGTCAATTTTTAGCCTAGAAAGGCTTTCCCCGAAGGGCTCATACCACCTTGTCGGACAACGGTATGAGTGACACACTTGCTCAGAAACATCTTATCGAATTACTGATGTGGAATGCATCTCACGTGCAAAAAAAATAAATCCAGTAAAGTCTGACAGGGGAAAGTGGATGACTAGGCGTGAGAAACAGTAAAGAGGAATTCTTTCTACGTCCTTGCTAGATGCAACTGTTCCATCTGACGAAGTCAGCAGTAAATCAGATTGCGAAAACCGTACGGTGGTTTAGAAACCGTTGGAAACAAAGTTCCAGGTATGTTTTCTGCGTCCTTGCTCTGAGGAAGGTTCTGATGCAACTTTGTCCATTATGAAGAAAAAGAAACGAAACGACATGCCGGTACTTGGCTTAGCCGGTTGCCATTCAGAGAAATGATAAATTGATGCAGGTACGCAGAGCTGATCAGGCTCTGTATCACCACGAACTGACAGTGTCTTCGTTGGGCAGTGTCTGTCAGTCGTGCACTGCCCCCCTGCATGAAAAAGAACCAGAAAATCATGAACCATAACAAAAAAGTGCACCAAAGTACCGGAAAGAAGTTTTACATCTGTACAGATGGACCACACACACACACTAGACAAGAATGGATCATTATATGATCCGGCAGGAACTGAATCCTGAAACATGCAGATTAGATATAAAACAAAGAAATTAACGATGCATCCTACGAATAATAGGAGTTCTCCTGATTGATTTTCATGTCCACGATCTTCATCAAAAATACATCGGCGACGTGGTTTTGACAAAATAATCCCAATACATCGGCGACATAGTCGGCGAAATAATCCAAAAAATTAACAATACTGTCGGCGACATGGTTCGGCGAAAATACTGAGGAAGGTTCTGATGCAGCAGAACTAATCATACATGACCAACATTGATTCCAGATTGCGACAACAGTGCAGCAAATTGTGTAATATTGTGGTTGGGGTTCTGAGCTTGGCCCCTTGCTATGTTCGAAAAAAGCAGGTACAAGTGGTTGATCAAACCACTCATCCACCGAAATGCCATAGCTTCGTTGGACTGGATAGGCAAATCGGCTCCAGTCTCCCTGCTGCCTAACTAAGTAAACGGAATCGAAGTTTTACATCTATACAGATGAGACACACACACACATACATACATACATACATACATACATACATACATACATATATATATATAATGCAACCCCATCTATCATATAGTAGAACGCTTTCCTGGGATCAGATCGTAATTTAGCTGGCTGTGCGGGTATGTGGGGGCAACCACAGCTGACATGGGGTCACAGGAGGAGCAGAGACGGAAAGAGGAAGAAGAGAAAGCTGCAGCGCAGGCACGCGAGATCCTAACACGTGGTCTTGCTTGCCCCTAGCCACCCAAGGCTTTGCGCTGAAAGGTAGATGAAGCTCATTGAAGCTGCTAATGGTCATTGGTGGTCAATAAGGGGCCAAGTTCCCCAGGTGCTGGAATGTGTTTTGGTTCAAAATGTTCAAATCGGCTATCGGAAAAGGAGAAGGAGAGGCAAGCCATTGAGGAAGGGGAGAGAACCCGACGAGAGGAAAAGGAGAGGCAAAGACGCAGGGCCCTCTGTGTAGCTGGAATTGGGAGACACTGGAAGGGAATGCAAGCCCTTTTGAGGCATGGAATCTGCCTTCTGGGAATCTCTGTTAGAAACTCAGGGGGTTCAGGCGTTTTAGCTGGTGATACTTGACTTGGAAAGTTTCTGAGCCTGAGCAGATGGAAGAGACAAACAAGGTTGGAGTGGACCTGGCTGACGATGGATGATTGACTGCTAGTTGATCTTCTTGATTCCGTCTTGGTTTGCAGGAGCCTGGAGGAGAAAGATCGACTGATGACCATGCTACAGGCAGATTTGGATCAGAGGTTTTGCCAACATAGAGGGTATGGCTCCAACTTATGCAAAAATACGATCAAAATTGAATAGTCAAAAAAATGTAAAAGTTTAAAGACATTCTAAACTCTAGATTCTAGGTATAACATATTTGGTCAGTCCATTGGTGCTGTGTTGGCATCTCCCCCAACTCGAGGGCATCGTTCTGTTCCGGGATCAGCTCCAGCGAATCCGCTCGGAAGAGCAAGAGTTGCATAGCTACATCGAGGGCAAGGCGCTGGACGGATGGTGAATGATGATGTTTTTGAAATGTTGGGAAAGCAGCAAGAAATGTTACCATCCCCAAATTTACCATACATGGGTGCTATAAACCATCAAAATTTGGATGGGCTATTTTTGGTTTACTAACCTTATTCTGATTTCTGATATGATTGCGTGATATGGGTTTGTTTGAACCTGGGATATCCCCCCAATGGCAGTTTTCATGGGAGAATGAAGATCAAACACTGGATTTGGGATTACCATATTTGAAGACAAAGTCACACATGGCAATCCAGCGAAACATACACATTTTCGCGGTGGGTGATTATCTCACCGCTCCTTCAGTATTGAGTGTTCTGCACTTGGGCTCAAGAGCTGTCTGCTTCGGAGCAACAGGCAGGGATTGGGATCTTGCTGTGATTGGGATCTTGCTGTGTCAATCATTCAATGCCTCCAATGCAATAGTTGTGGCATTTGTACACATGATCATGTAAGATTCTGCAAGATCATGTAAGATTCTGTAAGATTCTGCAAGATCATGTAAGATTCTGTAAGATTCTGCAAGATCATGTAAGATTCTGTAAGATTCTGCAAGATCATGTAAGATTCTGTAAGATTCTGCAAGATCATGTAAGATTCTGTAAGATTCTGCAAGATCATGTAAGATTCTGTAAGATTCTGCAAGATCATGTAAGATTCTGTATGATTCTGCAAGATCATGTAAGATTCTGTATGATTCTGCAAGATCATGTAAGATTCTGTATGATTCTGCAAGATCATGTAAGATTCTGTATGATTCTGCAAGATCATGTAAGATTCTGTAAGATTCTGCAAGATCATGTAAGATTCTGTATGATTCTGCAAGATCATGTAAGATTCTGTAAGATTCTGCAAGGTCATGTAAGATTCTGTATGATTCTGCAAGACCATGTAAGATTCTGTAAGATTCTGCAAGATCATGTAAGATTCTGTAAGGTTCTGCAAGATCATGTAAGATTCTGTATGATTCTGCAAGATCATGTAAGATTCTGTAAGATTCTGCAAGATCATGTAAGATTCTGTAAGATTCTGCAAGATCATGTAAGATTCTGTAAGATTCTGCAAGATCATGTAAGATTCTGTAAGATTCTGCAAGATCATGTAAGATTCTGATTCTGCAAGATCTGTATGATTCTGCAATTCTGATCATGTAAGATTCTGTAAGATGTCATGCAAGCTCATGTAAGATTCCTGGTATTGATTCTGTACACGATCCTGTAAGTTCTGTAAGATTCTTGCAGATCATGTAAGATTCTGTAAGATTTCTTGTCAAGATTCATGTAAGATTCTGTAAGATTCTGCAAGATCATGTAAGATTCTGTAAGATTCTGCAAGATCATGTAAGATTCTGTATGATTCTGCAAGATCATGTAAGATTCTGTAAGATTCTGCAAGACCATGTAAGATTCTGTAAGATTCTGCAAGACCATGTAAGATTCTGTAAGATTCTGCAAGATCATGTAAGATTCTGTAAGATTCTGCAAGATCATGTAAGATTCTGTAAGATTCTGCAAGATCATGTAAGATTCTGTATGATTCTGCAAGATCATGTAAGATTCTGTATGATTCTGCAAGATCATGTAAGATTCTGTAAGATTCTGCAAGATCATGTAAGATTCTGTAAGATTCTGCAAGATCATGTAAGATTCTGTAAGATTCTGCAAGATCATGTAAGATTCTGTAAGATTCTGCAAGATCATGTAAGATTCTGTAAGATTCTGCAAGATCATGTAAGATTCTGTAAGATTCTGCAAGATCATGTAAGATTCTGTATGATTCTGCAAGATCATGTAAGATTCTGTAAGTTTCTGCAAGATCATGTAAGATTCTGTAAGATTCTGCAAGATCATGTAAGATTCTGTATGATTCTGCAAGATCCCATAAGATTCCTGAAGATTCTGCAGATCTGTAAGATTCTGTATGATTTATGTCAAGATCTGTAGATTCTGTAGAGATTCCTGCACAAGATCTGTAGATTCTGTAGATTCTGCAAGATCATGTTAAGATTCTGTAAGATTCTGCAAGATCATGTAAGATTCTGTATGATTCTGCAAGATCATGTAAGATTCTGTAAGATTCTGCAAGATCATGTAAGATTCTGTATGATTCTGCAAGATCATGTAAGATTCTGTAAGATTCTGCAAGATCATGTAAGATTCTGTAAGATTCTGCAAGATCATGTAAGATTCTGTAAGATTCTGCAAGATCATGTAAGATTCTGTAAGATTCTGCAAGATCATGTAAGATTCTGTATGATTCTGCAAGATCATGTAAGATTCTGTAAGATTCTGCAAGATCATGTAAGATTCTGTATGATTCTGCAAGATCATGTAAGATTCTGTAAGATTCTGCAAGATCATGTAAGATTCTGTAAGATTCTGCAAGATCATGTAAGATTCTGTAAGATTCTGCAAGATCATGTAAGATTCTGTAAGATTCTGCAAGATCATGTAAGATTCTGTAAGATTCTGCAAGATCATGTAAGATTCTGTATGATTCTGCAAGATCATGTAAGATTCTGTAAGATTCTGCAAGATCATGTAAGATTCTGTAAGATTCTGCAAGATCATGTAAGATTCTGTAAGATTCTGCAAGATCATGTAAGATTCTGTATGATTCTGCAAGATCATGTAAGATTCTGTAAGATTCTGCAAGATCATGTAAGATTCTGTATGATTCTGCAAGATCATGTAAGATTCTGTAAGATTCTGCAAGATCATGTAAGATTCTGTAAGATTCTGCAAGATCATGTAAGATTCTGTAAGATTCTGCAAGATCATGTAAGATTCTGTAAGATTCTGCAAGATCATGTAAGATTCTGTAAGATTCTGCAAGATCATGTAAGATTCTGTAAGATTCTGCAAGGTCATGTAAGATTCTGTAAGATTCTGCAAGGTCATGTAAGATTCTGTAAGATTCTGCAAGATCATGTAAGATTCTGTAAGATTCTGCAAGATCATGTAAGATTCTGTAAGATTCTGCAAGATCATGTAAGATTCTGTATGATTCTGCAAGATCATGTAAGATTCTGTATGATTCTGCAAGATCATGTAAGATTCTGTATGATTCTGCAAGATCATGTAAGATTCTGTATGATTCTGCAAGATCATGTAAGATTCTGTATGATTCTGCAAGATCATGTAAGATTCTGTAAGATTCTGCAAGATCATGTAAGATTCTGTAAGATTCTGCAAGATCATGTAAGATTCTGTATGATTCTGCAAGATCATGTAAGATTCTGTAAGATTCTGCAAGATCATGTAAGATTCTGTAAGATTCTGCAAGATCATGTAAGATTCTGTAAGATTCTGCAAGATCATGTAAGATTCTGTAAGATTCTGCAAGATCATGTAAGATTCTGTATGATTCTGCAAGATCATGTAAGATTCTGTAAGATTCTGCAAGATCATGTAAGATTCTGTATGATTCTGCAAGATCATGTAAGATTCTGTATGATTCTGCAAGATCATGTAAGATTCTGTAAGATTCTGCAAGATCATGTAAGATTCTGTAAGATTCTGCAAGATCATGTAAGATTCTGTATGATTCTGCAAGATCATGTAAGATTCTGTAAGATTCTGCAAGATCATGTAAGATTCTGTATGATTCTGCAAGATCATGTAAGATTCTGTAAGATTCTGCAAGATCATGTAAGATTCTGTAAGATTCTGCAAGATCATGTAAGATTCTGTAAGATTCTGCAAGATCATGTAAGATTCTGTAAGATTCTGCAAGATCATGTAAGATTCTGTAAGATTCTGCAAGATCATAAGATTCTGTAAGATTCTGCAAGATCATGTAAGATTTCTGCAAGTCATGTAAGATTCTGTAAGATTCTGCAAGATCATGTAAGATTCTGTATGATTCTGCAAGATCATGTAAGATTCTGTATGATTCTGCAAGATCATGTAAGATTCTGTAAGATTCTGCAAGATCATGTAAGATTCTGTAAGATTCTGCAAGATCATGTAAGATTCTGTAAGATTCTGCAAGATTCACACCATCATGATGATCATGTAAGTGAACGACGATATCACACGGTAGTCTTTTGAGTTTTCACCATCAGTCATCGTCGGCTCACTTCGTTCACCGAACGTTTCTCCATGGTGATCATCCCATGAAATCCAGGCACGTTTCGCCGATGAAGCTGGAGGAGCCGTTGCTTCCCAAGCCTCGAAGAAGTCGATCGAAAATCCACGATGTGTTGGAGGGGAAGGCCATGAAGCCATGGTGCGTTGATAGTTGGTCATGTTATAAAAATGTGGGTGGCCAAATGTTATTTAAGCATATTTAAGCTACCTGGTCTAATGATGTTTATCAGTGATTTATCCGAAATAATTCGAGAAACCTACCTGGTTTATTGACGTTGATCGCACATGACCCATAATATCCCATAATTATTGTCAGATCTGACCACACTGATATTTCAGAAGAATGATTGGGTTTGCCTCAATGTTGGGACAACCCCCGAATCCATTGCTTAAACACATCATTTCCTAATTTATCCCCTATAATTTGATGGCCATATATGCACACACCCAATTCCTGTCAGAACTGATTGCCCTGATGGGATAGTGGAAGAATTGACTTCAAGCAAGCACAAAAGATGATCCAGAGATGTGCAGAATGTATGTGTCTCACGCAGATATATGTACAGTACACACACATACATATTGTATAATCATATATATATATGATTATATAATATGTATATATATATACACATATATATATAATGATATATTATGCATTTATATGCTTATGCACCCTCTTACGTAATTATAAGATAGATAATATATATATATATATATAATAGTATATAATAATGTACATACATTTATATATCAAGAATCTTTATACATGACTGATACATAGACTCGTCCCAGAATGGCTCTGATCAGGGTCCATATGGCTCGTCCTATAGCTTCTTCCTCACGGTCGTCATCTTGGTGAACATCGCCAGCTTTGTCCTGTCCACGGAGCAGAAAATGGACGACTACCGAGCTGTGTTCGAGTCCTCAGATGGGCCCAATAGGACCATGGGACGGGGCGAATAAGATGGGCTCTGGCAAAGGGGTACCCCTAGAATCAAGGGTTTATCCGAGTTTATCCTCATTTTCTGTATAAAAAATGGAATTTTATGGGGCATACCAATTTTCAGACACGCCCATGTGATTGGATGAGGTTTGATAAAGTGGAAATAGCCACGGTCTGCATCTTCACCATTGAATATGCCGGCTTCTGAGAGCAAACTGCAGTCTGCGGGTTCTTGCCAGGGGCTGTTAATGACAAAACCGGCCGTCAGGTCCTGCGATTTAGCACCCGGGGAGGGACATGTTTGAGTCGTATTCGGTGGATGGTGTCGATCTCAAGCAACCCACAGATGCCACGGACGGTTGCTGGTGCCAGTGCCAATTAAAACACAATGAGTCACTAAGTTCACCAACTTCTTCTCCATAGTCGATCTGATATCGATTTTGCCATTCTACGCGCCTTCCTCAGTGGGTTTATGTGGGTTTTATTGTCTACAATGCTCCTGTAGGGATGCCGCCTCAGTCCGCCTCCATTTGTTGACACCCAGGTGGATCTTGCCATTCCTGGTAGGCAAAGCTATTTGGCCACGCAATGGGTTCGAGTTGCAAGACCCTCAGCGCCATACACAGGACGTCGGACCACGTCGGACCATGTCGGACCCGTACTGTAGCTAGCGAGTCCACATTGATTCGTGTATGGCATGTGCTGCAAAGACGGTGCTCTTTATGCCCTCAGCCAGCTGGCTTAAAAGGGATAGGACAACCATCAGAGGAGCCCCACTTGCTCAAGGCATGGTCCTTGAATATCCAAGACATTCTCCTTCGAAGCTGGCACAAGTCAGCGGTGCTTCCTGACAGGCAAACATAGGGCAATGTATTGTTGCACGGAGGCGCGTTGCTTCAGTTCGTTTGTGTCCACCTCGGACAATGTCTACTAAGTCTACTAGGTTCATGAATCCAATGACTGCAACTTGCCCTGGAAGTCGTTCATTCATACATTCTCTTTCAAAGACTGCAACTCTCCAGCATTCAGCCCGAGCGCGGATTTGCCGTGAAGATCCCACGATGAGTTTTATCATAAGATGAGGCTTGCGTAGATCGAGAAGGCGCTGATGTGACCAATGGATCGGATTCCAACTTGCTTGTGGTGGCTCGGCAGAAATGGCTCACACGAACATCAACTGGATAGAATTGGGTAGAGGTCATGCCGGCTTGTGCTGTGATTTGGTCAGGAACCTGGGGACTCAACAGCATATGAGAGAGAACCCAAGCCGGAGGAGGCAGGGCTTCCGCGAGCATTCGCCATGGAGTTGTCGACTGTAGTGATGCAGGTCTCTTGAAGCAGAATAGACATAGGTAGTACATGGTAGTACAATGTAGACAAAAATGCGCACAAATGTTCAAAGTATGAGAAAATAGATGGGAACTATATAATCCTATGCAGTATTGGGTCTCGAGGAAAAACCAGAGCCAGATCCACCACTGGAAAGCGATGTGACCAACAAGCAAGCTGTTGCCAGCTCAGCTGACCTCAGGTGTTTCACGCGTTACTTAAGCATCTCCAATTGGGACAGATGAGAATTTACAGACGCATCTCTGGTATCATTGGCAGTATAATTGGGGATGGACCGTTCTCAAGTTTACCACGGTGTACCACATTCATCACTTCAGACTACTTCAGTTCAGCATCTCCAGTTTTTGGGGACATCTCTGAGGGCGAAGGTGCAGATCTGGGTAACAACCTCTATACCATCACCTTCCCCAAGCCGGCCCATTCGATGACGGGAGTCACCTTTGATGGGGCACCCCAGCTGCAAGAACGTTGCGACGGTGCGAGCCCTGTGTATGTTTTGAACACAGACGGATAGATGGAAATAAATAAATACATACATGCATGCATGCATGCATGCATGCATGCATACACACAAACAAACAAACAAACAAACAAACAAACAAACAAACAAACAAACAAACAAACAAACAAACAAACAAACAAACAAACAAACAAACAAACAAACAAACAAACAAACAAACAAACAAACAACCATACATACATACATACATACATACATACATACATACATACATACATACATACATCCATGCATGCATGCATGCATGCATGCATGCATACATACATACATACATACATACATACATGCACGACATACATGACATACATGACATAAAAGACATACATGACATACATGACATGCATCACATAAATGAAATGACATACATACATGACATACAAGACATACATGACATACAAGACATACGTGACATACATGACAAACATGACATACATGACATACATGACATACATGAATGACATGACATGGCATGGCATGGCATGATATGACATGACATGAGATGACATGACATACATGACATACATGACATACATGACATGCATGACATACATGACATGCATGACATACATGACATACATGACATACATGACATACATACATGACCGACATGACATACATGACATACATGACAGACATGACATACATGACATACCATACATACCATAGATACCATACATACATTACATACCATACATACATTACATACCATACATACATTACATACCATGCAGACAGTACATACCATGCAGACAGATAGACAGCCAACCAGCCAGACAGCCAGCCAGCCAAACAGCCAGCCAGACAGACAGACATACATACATACGTCAGTCACATTACTTATCTACGTTGCATTTTTCCCCAACAGCGTAAGCTAATGGGGTCTTCAGCCCAGAATAGCTCCGGTGTGCACTGGTGCAGGCGCCGGGTCAGGTTCAACGAGGTTCCGGAGAAGGTTCCAAAGGTTCCGGAGAAGGTCTGGGAGGCTTTGGTGCAGAGCCGGGTCAGGTTCAACAGGGTTCCGGAGAAGGTTCTGGAGAAGGTTCTGGAGAAGGTTCCAGGAAGCCTTGGGCCTTGGTGCAAAGCCAAGTCAGGTTCAACAGGTTCTGGAGCAGGTTCCAGCGCTTGGCTTCGCAGCACGCTTCAGAAAGATTTGTAAAAACAAAACGTTGCGGCTGTTGGGGATACCGCTCGGGATACCACCGAAGCTTATGTTTTTGAAAGACCGTTTTTTTTTGTCCCGTTTTTATGCTGCTCTTCATGCTCTTCCATTCATGTTTTTTACTCAGTGCAGGTTGATGATCTCCTAGTCATCAGCGAGTTTGCAGAGGAGAGTTTCATGGCAGAATGGAACTCCTCCCGCTCAGCCAATGATCCCCTGGCCGGTCTCCCAGGGACTTCGGACGGATTCTTTTGGAGGATTTGTCGCTGTCCACAACAGAACTGGCTGGTGGTTGCAGCTTCGATCTTTTTCTATTCATCATATTTTTTCATCCCATCATCCTATCTGAGATCATTGGCCCCCCTCTGACCTCTGACGGTTGAAACTAGTTGAACCTAGTTGAAACTAGTTGAAACTACCAGTATATAGTTGAAGCATGTTGAACCCACCAGAAAAGTCGCAAGACTGTGATGCCGTGATGCCGTCGTGGAGGTGATTCGCCAGATGGACCGAGTTATATCTGTGAACGGTCGCTCAGGAACTTCCGAGGAGCGCCAGTTGGAAACAGAGCCGGAAGATTCCATGGTTTTTAGATAAAATGCATTGTTTCTATATGTTTCCATTACATGGGCAAATGGAGAAGTGACAAAAACATACAAAAACCCTTCATTATTGCTTTAGATTTACCGTTGCGTCTTGGCATCCAGCTGCAATTGGAGATTGGATTAGGACATGGAGGTTTGTTTCTACGAAGAGGAGACAGTGAAGCTGGTTTTGCAACGCCCTAGGCTGGGAAACTTGTTGCAGATGGGACGACGATCCATATTCGCCAGGGATCAGCAGGCCACTGAGTGAAGACCTTCATTGTTCGATGGCCAGGTATCTCACCATGCAGGTGAAGAACAAAGCAGGGAAGTCCTTGGGCCTGGAAGTTGAGCCGTGCAAGAACTCCTTGGGCTTGGTGATCTTGGATGTGAAGGCTGGGTATGAAATGCCATGAGGGGAGCATAAGGCAGCTAGGCATAGCTAGGCCATCTTAAGTTCCATGATGTTCCACTGTGGCTTAGACGTGGGTTAGACGTGGGTTAGATGCGCCCAGGATGATGGCATTATTGCAAAGTACAATCAGCAGGCTCCACCGGAGAAGAGAGTTGAGGCAGGCCGGCAGGAGCATTTTAGTTTTTTTTAATGTTTTTTTGTTGCAGAGCTGCTGTTTTCTTTGGTACTCCTACATTGGCGACTCTGCCTGGGCCTGTCAACAAAGCGCATACCAAGAATACAATTTAGTGATTTCGTACAATCAAACTGTTGAATGACTTTTCTATCTTTTCGGGGTGGCTTTTTCTGTTGGTTATTGAAACATTGATCACGTCTCCCATGTCAGATCCCAGGCCTATTGCAGCATCTATGCGTTGAATGGATATGAGCTCACGGGTGATGCCCTTAGACTGTGACACCAAGGTCTTTGACATTCGACTGTGGATAAACTTTTGGAGCCGAAAAATCGGCCATTGTTGGGTCCAGAAACCCATGGAAATTGAGAGAAATCCAAGTTCCCAGGCCCATCTTTGCTCAAGAACCTGCAGCAGCGTGACAAGGTCGAGTCAATGTATTTGCGTAGCTGGAAGAAGTCTGTATAGTTAAGCTGAAAATTCAGCCGTTCAGCCATGACTCCTGCGAAGCAGGAAGTCAATAGTCTGAACTTGGCTTCAGCGCCACATGCCGGGTGTTCCTGCTCTTTGGATATCTTTGGAGATCTTTGGATTCACGCTATTCCCTTCAAGCATCACGAATTGTGCTACAATATGGATACAATATGGCAACAGATAGAAAATGTGAACATTCTGCATCAGAAAAAGTGCATCCATGATGGATGCGTGCTAACACCTGGGCAGAACTTGGTGCATGCGCCTTGAAGGTCACTGGAACCTGAAAAGTTCAGAAAGGTTCCATTTTTGCTTTTTTTCGCTTGTGTTTTGCAGTTTCTCTTTTGCACTTGCAGCAATTCGGCCGATTCAGCGCACTGCCAAGAGGCAGAGCGGTGTCCTGTTTCATTTGCAGCATCTGAGCTTTGGCGAAGTTTCAGAGGATCTGGACAATGGTAGAGGTGGGTAGGCTACAGGTACCCACTAGGTGGATCTAGGTGGAGGTGTCTTCAAAGAGTTCACTTCTGCCTTAAACTGCAATAAACCAAAGCCTGAGCTGCAAGAAAGAACAGACTGCACGCAGCTACAGGTTTTGGGTGGTTTGGGAGTTTGGTGGGTAGTGGCTGTCATATGCTGTCATATGCTGTCACTTGCAACTGAAGTTACCTGAGGTTATCCGAGGTTATGTTAGCTGGGTCAGGGTCAGCTGCGGTGCTTTCAAAGTGGTTCCGAGGCACGTTTGCTGCGACTGCTTCCACCCCTGCCCTACGATCTGATTTGGAAGAAGAGCAGCAAACTTCTGATGGCCAGCGGCTTCGCAGGTTTCACCGTTTGGGCGCCTCGGCACTGCAAAATAGGCACAGAATAGGCACAGAATAGGCACTTCTTGGATCTTCTTTGATCTTCTTTGTAGCACTTGATGGCATCACCGTGGGAGTTTTTTGTAGCTCTGAGCCAGGCTAAAGCCGTGGCGTAAGCAAAACACTGCGTAGTGCAAGCGTGCGCAAGAATACGCATAAGCAGCTCGTGATAGGGACATGCGCGAGCTAAATGCTGGTGTGCGTAAACCCGCGTAAGCATTGGCGTTAGCTACTCCCTGCGCCTAAGCCACAAATGCAAAATGTGGGCGCGTAAGCAAAGAGTAAGGTGTGGGGCGTAATCCCTTAAAGTGCCTTTAGGGACAACACTTCTTCATCACGGCTCGATTGTGGCTGAAGAATGCTGGACAATGCACAGGCATGAATCAATGAGAGAACCATGGGATTGGACCTGGGAACATCTGGCAACACTACAGCTGGAGTGGCAGCCACTTTGCAAACTGAGGTCATTTGTGCGGCGCTTTACTATTGGTTTGAGACAAACAACCCCGAGATGACCTACTGTCCGGCTCCAGCCTGAGGTATTGCACCCAACAGAAGCAGCAGAAACGACCCAAACATATGTGGGTCATTGTTTTTTGAGGATGATGAGTTCAAGCACGAGGATGCTTGTTGGAATCGCTTCCACTCCATCCCAGCAGCAATGTGATCCACTCAAGACTTGGCGAAATCTTGGCGAGTACGAAAAACGAGATTAGACATGAGCTGAGGAGTAGCTTGTTCCCCAAAAGAACGCACATTTGATTCACATGGCTGGATAGTTTATGCCTCAGGTACTACTCCCTCTTGAACTTCTTCGGTGAGTTTCCGTTGGCCGATCAGCACTCCCTCGGTGGTCGCTTCGTCGGCGGTTTCATTCAGGTCCGCTTTAGCGTGCTTATTTGAAACATTTTGAAACTGTAGATGTCATAACACTGTATCAATCTGTATTATGATTATAAAGTATTATAATATATAACATTATATAACTATATATAATATCAGAAAGATGCTATAGTCACATATAGTCACAGTCTATCCCGGCATGATCCGGCATGTATGGATAATATTTGATCATTATCAAACATGCTGGATGATCATCTATGCGTATGTATAATCTCTATATATATATATAGATCTATATGCAGACACATGCACATTGCATATGAATATGCATATATATATATGTATATAATTATATATATATAATTATATATAATTATTTTTAATATATATGTATAATAGTATATATATATATTATATACAACATAACCACGATATAAGCACAGTATTACTATGTTCTCTGTACCAGAGTGTTAGCTTCACATTTCCATCGCCAGGTCATGGGGGCAGCGGTCATGGCCATCCCGGCGGGAGCGCTGGGCAACGCCTTTTCCGAACTCGTGGAGAAGGAGATGAACGACGAGGACCGGGGACTCCGGGGACTCCGGGGACTCCGGGGACTCCGGGGACTCCGGGGACTCCGGGGACTCCGGGGAACTGGGATAGAACTGGGTAAAGTATGGGAAAGTGGAAGAAAACCACAAGTGATGAGGATTCTATATTAATATGATATTTATACTGTTTTTTATACTCAGAATATATAGTTATGTCACGTCCATGTAAGTGAGTAAAGTCTTTGAGGCACTCCGGAGATTGATGTAAAGGGTTTGGGATGGTGGGATTGTTGGTGCCATGTTGGTGCCATAGTTGTACCTCAGGAAGCAGCAGAGCAGCAGGATGGAGTGGATCCAGAGGCCCAGACGCAGAAGACTCCGCTGAAGGCTCGCTCCAAACTCCCAGAAAAAAATGGTGAAAGGGGGAAACTAGGACAAGAGAGGTTGGAGGTTGGTTGGGAGGCTGTTATGTTTTTGTTCAATATTGTAAATCTAAATGTTTGACTGTTTCTTTTTGATTATCTTGCTAAATGTTTTGTTGAGGTTGTTGTGATAATGTTTGGTTTGGATGAGGGTAGGTTTTGTTGAGGGTGTTTTGGCTGTTATGGTTTGTAGGTTTATGTTCAATGTTTGTTCCTTGGTGTTGATGTTTTTCTGGGGCTGTTTTTGGGACATTTTAGGTCAAAGTGTTCATGCTTACCTTGTTGATAGTTTTTTGCTTGATTTATGTTTTGGTTAGGGTTTGTCTAGGTTGTTGGGGCTATATTCTGAAGCAGTCCTTCTTATGGTCTCCGGTTTCCTTGTCTTGGTTTCCCCAATCACCAACACCTGTGTCAACGCCAAACACATGCATCGTGACCGGAGTTTTTTTAAGGAGGTTGCCAAGTGTCCCATCTGCCTTTGTCGTTTTTTCCGTTGTCCTTCCTATGCTTCCTGTTCTTCCTGTTCTTCGCTGACGCCCTCATTTTCAACACGTTGGGACACCCAATGCTTGGAGAAAGGACTTGTGCGAACTTGTCCTGTGTCATCTTGTGTCATCTTGCGTCATTGTGCAGACTTGCTCTCATGTTGTTGTTATTTTTGTGATGGTATGTGATGGTGTTGATTTTGAACATTCGTGTCTGCCATCTTTGTTTTCTCCAGCAACATTGGGGGTTCAAAACCCCACAACAGCCAAAGGATGCTGGGTTCGTGGGCGAAATGGATTGGGGAGAAAAGTGTGCCCCTCATCTTTGGTAGTGGGGTCAGCGGCTCTCTCATGGCCGTTGCGTGGAATGCCACCGAGCAAGACCGGATGGCTCGTGCCATCCAAAAGGGGCGTTTCCGCCCAGAGAAGCCTGAGGAGTTCCAATTGGAGTTCCTAAACTTTGACCTCCCAGCCATCCACCGAGGTCTTGGCAAGAATGGCATGGTGGCTCTCATTGGCATGCAAGCCACTGGGAAGACCGAGGCCGAGAACCAAAAACATTTGGAAGCTCCCGTGGCTTCTGGATGGCATGAGGGTAGATTGGGGAAAGACCCACGAGGATGTGGTGACGGAGGTCTTCAAGAAAGTAAGGGACAAGACCCAGAAGCCGGTTCGCCTCGGCTTTGATGTGCTGGCTGTGACAAAGCACGGAATAGATGAGCCGCATGTCTCCAACATCATTGAGGTGACCACGGGCAAAGAAAACCTGCATTTCCCCACCAACTTTGATGCGAAGTTCTTCGTGAAGCAGGTCCTTTGCGCAGACAGGCATGTGTCATCAGCCCTCATCTCCTCCAGCGAGGGCTTGATGATGCTGTCCCTAGGAGAGCCTCGCCTTCGTAAGATGCTTGGAAGGGAGTTGCCCATCTCCAAGTCCAAGGCATACCTCAAGGCCTTGGGTCAGGAGAACATCAGCGAGGAGATGCTGATGGAGATGCCCAGAACCTTTGAGAAGTTGAGGGGGTTGAGCGCATCAGCAGGCAAGGAGGCCTTTTGCAACAAGGAGATGCAAGGGTGGGTGAGTGCCATTGAGAAGACCAACGGTCAGCCCTTCACAAATGTCAAGGGACTTTACCAGAAGGCCTTGAATGAGCCGATCGGCATTAAGGACATCAGAGTGGCTACACCCGGCAAGTTGGCAACCTTCACTGGTGCAGACCCCGAGGAGACCTTCATCCAGCATATGGTCAAGACCAACATCTTCACGCCCCGAGATGATGGTCGTTATGAGTTGCAGTTTGGCTGTCAGCACAAGGCCGTCAAGAAGGTCTTTGACCTGTAGAGCCACTGAGGGGCGTTTGTAATGTTCAGACAGTCACTGCCCAATTGCGGTATCACACAGACAGACACCTTTGGACAGCCTTCATGAAAAAAAATGTAGGCTTTTTGCGAGACACCTTGATCAGTGAGACCCTTTGCCTTGATGAGCACTCCCTCATTCCCTCAAGGATGAACACGGTCTTATAGGAGTATGAGCGCAACTTCATAGGGGACGAGCCAACAATCATCAGGTATGAGCCCGTCCTCATCAAGTATGACCTCATCCTCATATGAGACAACCCTCATTTCTATTCATTTTTAGTAGGGATTTTGGATAATGATGACATCATCCTCTTATGAGCCTACCCTCATAGGGGATGAGCCTTCCAGTGTGAGGGGGTGTTGCGCCCATTCCGAGGTCAAAAAATCATCACTGACGAGACCTTCGTTGAGGGTTGGCTGGGTTTCAAACAAACATTGTGGAAACATGTTCAACGCTTTTTATGGAACAAATCCGTTCAAGTGAAGATCACAAGAAAAATTGCGGGTAGCCTTCAAAAGACCAACTTTCAGTGAGGAGTTCAACCAACACGTGTAGGGAGTGTCGATTTCGGACAATTCCTAAACTGTATATTCATTGGTTTTACACCCGTTCTTTGAAGATGCGATATATGATACATCTATAGTCTATAACCCTACACCCCACAATATTCATTTGTCAGGATGTCAGGCGACCGTGTCTTTCGTAGGGTCTGGACTCGGGCTCTTTTGTTTTTCATTCTTGGGGGCATCCACATTGATTGGATGAAAGAAATAAAAGGAGAAGGAGAAGAAGGGGAAAAAAAAGAAAAATTACTTTACTTTGTGTGATCTCCACCATGACATTTATACATTTTGTTACTGGCAAATCTTCTGGCATTCTATCTGACATATTTTCTGGCATTCGATCTGGCATTCTATCTGGCATATCTTCTGGCATTCTACCTGGCATATCTTCTGGCAGATGTTCTGGCATATCTTCTGGCATATCTTCTGAAATATGTTCTGGCATATCTTCTGGCATTCCATCTGGCATTCTATCTGGCATATCTTCTGGCATATTATCTGGCAAATCTTCTGGCATTCCATCTGGCATTCTATCTAGCATATCTTCTGGCATATTATCTGGCAAATCTGCTGGCATTCTATCTGGCAAACATTCTGGCACTTTATCTGAGATATCTTCTGGCATTCTAGCTGACATTCTATCTGGCATTCTATCTGGCATACCTTCTGGCATTCTATCTGGCATATCTTCTCACATTCTATCTGGCATATCTTCTGGCACTCTATGTGGCATATCTTTTGGCGTGGATACTCGCGGTTGAGGTCCGGCAGGGAACACTGGGCGTGGATGGTCGTGGTTGAGGTCCGGCAGGGAACACTGGGCGGGGATGGTCGTGGTTGAGGTCCGGCAGGGAACCCTGGGCGTGGATGGTCGTGGTTGAGGTCCGGCAGGGAACACTGGGCGTGGATGGTCGTGGTTGAGGTCCGGCAGGGAACACTGTGGATCGCGAGTCGCAGTTGAGCAGGAGGACGAGGAGGACAACGAGGACGACGAGGACAACGAGAGGAGGACGACGAGAGGAGGAGGAGAGGAGGCAGGAGAAGGCAACTTAGTTAAAATCTAACAACCCTCACCTGGCAGGTGGGGAAAAACACCACTGGGGGAGTGACGCGCTCGGCTTTTGCAACTTCAATGCGCATCCCAGTGGTGGCAGACAACAATGACGATGAGGACGAAGACGACAACGACTCTAAGTCTGGTGAGAATGGATGGACATTTTGATTTTAGTTCTTTATTCACTCGTGTTCATGTTGTTGATGATGATTTGTTCCCTCCCCATATCTCTCTTGACAAAAAACCTTCCCCATTTGGTGGGTGGCGAATATTCTGACATTCACATCTATGACACCCTCGCCACAAGACAAATCGTTGCGCTATCCATTTTGGTGAAACGGTGTCTATACCAAATCCCTCGGCTTTCCAACGCAAAACCCAAAAATACTTAAAGACAAGTCGCCTTATGTAATTAAAATTTGATATGCCCTGCTATGTAGTAATTGATGGTAAGAAGCAAGAAATGGACGAGGACATCTTTGACCAGATGGTTGAAGCACTCCATCAACCTACAATCCAAGAACCCCCAATGCCAATCTCCACAAGATGGCAACCCGATGGAACTTATGACAAGAAACCCAACGACCCAAACTACTTCTCAAAATACTATCAAAAGAAATTATCAACCCCTTTCACCTGTCCCGACTGCGGACGGACAATTTCGTCCAAATCCAATCTATCAAAACATCGTCAAACCAACATTTGTATGAGGAAATACATGTCTTTAAAACAAGGATGGAAGCATCGCCAATAGATTTGTCTGATAGTGTGAATGACCGACAAATGAGAAGAGAATTATACATATTGATGAAAAATCCTACACTGAAGAAAGGCATATTTCCTCAAGCGACTAAATCTTATGTAAAGAAAAACTTGGGACATACATATCAAATGCTTGAAGACCTTCACAATATAAAAGCAATAAAGAATTCTTGGATGTTTCCTGGTCCTAGCTTAAACCGTTATTATGAATTTAGAAATATAGATTTCAGATTAAAAGACCTATTCAAGCTTTTCAAACACTTTGAGCATTACATTAATCAAGATGAAATAAAAGAACACCTACAAAAAGTGATAGATACTTAAAGAAAAAATACCTATAAGTGAAAAATGCCAATGATTGGAGTTAGTGAAGAGGAACTAAAAAGAGACAGAGAAAGATTAATGAATTTCATTAAAAAAAACTTATCCTGATTATAACTTTATAGAATATGACCTACTACTTAAGCAAAAACAATCTTTAGAGCAATACGCAGAGTATGGAGAGATAAACCACGACCTTATGGAAGAAATTTATGAAAACATATTATTTGATAAAGATTTAATCAAAAAACATGGTGAGAGGATACACCATAGAGGAGGAATGACAGCATTACAACAAAACTATTATACACTATTGTCAGTGTTGGGATACTTGATTGACCAACGAGGACTTGATAGAGACACAATCATTTTAGTGTTCTACAACATCAAAACGATTGTTTCTCAATGTTGGGATGGAATAGGTAGTGGTGATGAAAAGTGGAGACACTAAACCTAACGATTTGTTCATAATATCTTAATAAAATATATTATGATGTAATCCACCCTAAAACCCCCTTAAAGACATAACCCCTTAAAATTGTAGAGGTATAATGACTGACAAAAAGCAGTGTTCTAAATGTAAAGTCTTTCAACCGTTAGACTACTACAAAAATGAATGTAAGCAGTGTAATAAATGCTTAGAAAACAAACGCAGATACAGGGAACAGCACAAAGAAATTTTAAAACAATATTCTCAACAATACTACGAAAGGAAAAAGGAAGAATTAAGTGATAAAAAGAAAGAAACGTTGGAATGTCCAATTTGTAAATGTGAAGTAAGAAAATATACAATGAAACGACACGAAGAAAACATCAAGCATCAAATGAACATTAATGGACACTATCTCATACAGCAAAACCACAACAACCTGTTCACCCTACCCTCATCCAAACCAAACCATTAATCAAACAACTCCGACGAAACATTTAGCAAGATTAACAGAAAGAAACAGTCAAACATTTAGATTTACAACATTGAACATAACAGCTTCCCAACCAACCTCCAACCTCTCTTGTCCTAGTTCCCCCCTTTCACCATTTTTCCCAGGCTTTACAGTATTCTCAATGTCTATCAGTGTTTATCATCATATATCATCATTTTTGAAGTAAAATTGCTGTTTCAGGAACCCAGGGCCCCACTTTTGAGCAAACCGATATAGGATGAATGGTTAAGTCACCGGTCAAACAAATTGATTTTCAGATGTAGCAAGGTGGGTGTTGACACTGTTCGTTGCCTCGACGGTGAGAGAGAGGCACGGAGTTTTGCTTCACTGATTCCATTTGTTTTTTTTAGATTTTCATATGCATGTGTCATCATTTGTCATCATTTCCAGCTATCCCCATGGCATTTCGTGTACCATGTGTAGGTCAAAACCTACCCGGTGACGGAGGATTTTGCGGTTGACCTGGCAGATGCCTGGTTTATTCTCAGCGTCAGGACCTGAGATGTTTGAATTTCGTCACACTTCAGATGAAACACGATTCGTGTTTCAGGTGCTATTGGTGGCGGCATCCTCACTTTATTTCATTCTGGGCCCACAGCTTATGCATCTTATGCCACGCCATCCACTGGCATCCGCTGAGTGCCGTCCTTGTGAGGCACTCTGAGAAACTTACCCTCGCGCTTAGATGAGCCTGGACCTTGCCAGATCACAGCAAATGGAAGTCGTACCAGTCGTAGCATGTCGTAGCATCTTGTGCAGCATTTGTACCAGCTGATTCGGATTTGGCTGGCAGGCTGTTATTTGTCCTGGCAGTTCTGGATGTGATTGCAACTGTGACATTTTCAGCCTGAGCCCTGGGGACAGCAGCACCTCAGCGTGGAATGAAAGGTCTCTGCCAAGTCGTGACTTATAACAGCTACTCGCGTCTTTCAGGTGGAGTACATCTACAGGACTGATGAGTTTCATCAGTTCAACAGTTATTGTGCATTCCAAAAAAAATCCATGGTACATCCATCAACTGCCATGGGCCATATATGGCCATATATTGCCATGGTGTAACATCAAATTTACATCAAATTCACCCACAAAATGTGAGGATCCGGGCGGCCAGCAGTGTTAGCAGTGGCTTGTCCTCCCTGCGGTACATCGTGAGTGGTTTCGGCATCATCGACGGCCTGTGTGCGCTGATCCCAGCCTTCGGCTATGTTTGGGGCCCCAGGACCAAAGGACCCACCGTCAGATACTGTTCAGATGTCCATTATGATTCAATATGATATCACTTGATACATCTTGATACATCTTGATATCACATTTAGATTGGAATTAGATTGGTGACGAATTGGGCCAACTTTGAGGTATATCCAAAGCCATTCTTGCGCGCTTTTGCCACGCTGCGTATTCTCAAGCTGGACCGAGACCTGGTCGAAATGATTTTTTTCCGACCTGAAAATTTCATCCACTGTGGACGCTTCTGTTGCGAGGAGCGATACATCGGAGCTTTCAGCTCCTTCAAGCAGATCTTGTGGCAAAACAGGGCAGTGCTCTCTGTCACTGGCGGCGCAGCAGCCGTGATGTGGGTACCTTGCTGGCACATTCTGAGGGATCAAGGTTGCCATTTAAGTGAGAAAATCACTAATTATTAAACACAAATTTTGGTAGGCGCCCAATGTTTTAGCCAAACCTCCATACTGCTGGGGATTGTGCAGATTGCTCTGAGAATCCGCTACCATGTGGGAAAAAAAACTGCCAGGTGATTTTCAGCACCCTGATGTACTACGCTGAACGCAAGAATCCGGACCCAGAGATGGCTTGGAAACCAAGATCCTCACAGCGCCGTTTCACAGCTGCTTTTTTTCAAGTCCTTAAGGCTAGCCACTACTCGAGCGTGTCCACTTCCATGCAGCTTGGATCAGCATAACTTGAAAGATCTCTGCCGAAGTGTGGCGACTTGCTATTTGAAGTTGTTCTGCGTTTGGCGGAGCGGTCCTGAAACATGAACCATCATGTGGCATGGGAAACAAAGCACAGCTGTCAGCTTGAAACGAGGCATTGTTCAGTTGAAGCATCTCCAACTCAGCGTTGGCATACAAGGCATTGTTTCCTCACTCTGCAGCCGTTTGCTCTGATGTCAAAATAGATCAAGAGAGTGACCGTTAGAGTGACCACCCGATGAATGGGTGTCCTCATTCCATGACCGACTCAAGCACGGATGAAAGCAGCGATGGCACCGACGGCGAGCCAAAGCCAAAGCCACGCTGTGTCCGGTGGTGCTCAGCGCTGTTCCGACGCAATGGAGACTCCACCAGTGACCGCAGTGACGGCAGTGACCGCAGTGACCGCAGTGACAGCGATCCCTACCGGCAGGTTGCTGATACGGAGTTGGAAGCCATGATCCAACAGCGTGACAACTTGAATGCCTCCATCGAAGAGCAGATGCGGCGACAAGGTGTGGAACTTCCCTTGTCAATCGCCACCAACCCAACGCTGCACATGAGAATGTCATTCCTGACCCCGGCGGTGGAGAAACTCTGGCGCACCGAGGGGTGTCAAGATCAGATTGTGCTTGGGAGTGCTTTTCTGGCCTTGTGTGAGGTTCTGCTCCGTGCTGCTGTGATTTGGAAGAATTTGTGGTATGGCTGTGGCATCATTGGGCTAGACAAATCACGCCTTCTTCGCGCCTCCATTGTCTACAATGTCGTTTTGTTCTTTGCGTTGGTGCCCCTCCTGGTACTCAACCTCAACTGGAAGAGCAAACGGCTTCACATGACCCTGGTGACATTGGCATATATGGATCGAGTGGCTTCCTTCTTTCCATTGCTTCATTTTGCATGTGGCCGCAAAGGTCGGCATGAACATCAATTTGATTGCGCTGCGTTTCCAGATGCAAACGACTGCCAAAGATTGCAGTACTTCCAGTTTCAAAACCAAATGTTCAGTGTCATGGCGCAGGTTGTTGTCCTGCCAGAGTACAGGTACTTTCCTTACATGTGGATCTGGATTTTTGTGGCGACTTTGGTTTCCAGTGTGATTTCCATGAATGACGATCTGGACTGGACAGATGCCAGAGATGCCAAGAATGAATTCTTCGTTCGACTGTTACTGTTGTCATTGGTCCAAGTGGTGGCAAACCGAAAGAAAATCATCATGGAAGAGCAAAATCGAGCACTTTTCCTGACCAACAACAAGAGCAAGGAGGTGAGTTTGAGTATGTTCAAGGTCCTGGAACTCATGGTTCCTGACTTTGTAGTACTGCCGCTGCTGCAGGAGGCACAACAAGTGAGCTCGGCATGCAAGGTGTCTTACCGATTTGACTGTGCATCGGTTCTATTCATTGCATTTGATGATTTCGAAAGCACCGTTCAGCAGAAGACGCCACCAGAGATTTTGCAGTTCTTGAATCACTATTACAACCAATTTGACATGCTATGCGCAACCAATGGCGTGACCAAGGTTGAGACAGTTGCCGAGGAATATGTGTGTGCTGTTGGCATTCAACCTGGCAGTGAAAGTGAAGATGTCCAGGAAGCATTGAGCAGTTTGATCCTGGTTGCCAGTGAGGTTTTAAGCTATGAGGGTGTATCCTTCAAGATGGGGATGCACACAGGCCCAGTGGTGGCTGGGGTGGTTGGTAATAAGCTCCCAAGGTACCGCCTGTTTGGTGACACCATCAACACCGCGGCCCGGATGATGCAGAGAGGCCAGGCCGGCGAGCTGCTGTTTGGTGAGGCCACCCGTGCCCTGCTACCCAGCTGGGTGACCGTGAGCTGCCGTGGAGAGGTGGAGATGAAGGGCAAGGGCCGGGTGATGGTCTACAGCTTGGCTGCGGTCACAGCTGAGAGAAGGAGACCAGCACGGATCCCAAAGCACCCCCTGAGGACCACCAAAGCTTTGTTTAGTGCTCTGCAGGCGGGAAAACGCACGGCCGAAGGGGCATATCAAGGGCCCTCCAGCGACTTCAATGACATGCTGGAAGTCTTGCACAGCAGATCTCAGAAGGGGTGCCGGCATTGCTTGATTTCTTGGTGCCCTGGATGGGAAGGCTTCCCAGCAGAGCTGGAAAAGGATTACAGGAAGTGGTATTCTGCTTCAGTTTTGGCAGATAATTTCAGCAAGTTCAGGCTGCGCCGTCAAGCCATGTTCCTGTGTCTTCTCACCATAGTAGAGGCTTGCTACATGCTCTTCATGCACTCGAGCTTCACAAGCTTCCATCGCCTCGGCACCGGTTTGATTGCACTCCGATTTTATTTCATGCTCCGGGCAGTTGCGGCCAGCCTTTCCCTTGCCATGTCTTATGTTTGCCCACCTTTGATTTCTTGGGGGCAAGAGAGTGAAGCAAGGAGATGGAAGGCCAAACTCGGCAGCCAGGCTGGGCACTTGCTATTGGTGTCATTGATGATGCTATCCTACATCCTGCTCCCGCCATATGCCAATATGGGCCTGCTGGCAGTTCCCGACAATGTTGTCGCACTGATGACTCTTCCTGTGTACGCAGCCCTCATGATGTCGTATCAACAGGACTTTCTGACCTCAGTTGTTTTCCTCCTGACGTTTGCTCTCACCTTGCTGGTCATTCGCTATGTGCCAGAGACGGAAGGCAATGGCTACCCATCCGAAGGCTTGACCTTCTTGGGATACAGCCTGATTTTTGTCCTGAAAGCCTACATGGGAGAGCGAAGCCTGCGGAACCAGTTCAAGGCCAGGCATGGAATTGATGATGCCAAGAGACGTATCGAGGGCATCCTCGAAACCATGATGCCTCCAAAGGTCCTGGAGGAATTGCAGAAAACGGGCCCGGGTTCATGTCCTCCATCGCATCACTACTTCCGGGCCACGCTGGTGCAATCTGATTTGGTGGGGTTCACTCGGATGGCCAGCTCAAAGCCCCCAGAAGCAGTGGTGAAAGCCGTGTCAGATCTCTTTGGCATGTTTGATGATTTGGCAGATGAGTATGGCATCTACAAAGTAGAGACAGTGGGGGATGCCTATATTGCTGGTCAAGCCGAGCCACCTTTGACCTTGCAAAATTATCCTCCCAATGTTATTCGCTTTGGCCTCAACATGGTGCAGGTCACCCAAAGCTGGTCATCCCGCTCTGGTGAGTCGATTGGAGTCCGTGTGGGTCTTCACACGGGCGAATGCATTGGTGGCATTGTTGGCATTGACCGGCAGCGATATCATCTTTTTGGAAAACTCATTCATCAGCTGGAACTTTTGGAATCAACAGCACCTGACAACCGCGTCCAAGCAAGTCGCTCCTGCAGATTGGCAGTGGAAAAGGCAGGCGTTGATGACGCAGAGTTTGAGTTTGTTGAACGCCCAGAGCCTTCTTTGCTGACATCAAAGGGGGAGGTTCATCAGTACGCTGAAGTCGGTGGGCAAACGCATTTGGTGAATTTGCTGCGCCCCTTGCCACGACGCCAGCAGACTTCTGGATTGTGGAGACTTTGAGCATCTCCCGACGCTGGGGTTACCACTTTTGATATCTTTTGAGGATGGAAAATCCATGAAAATCCATAGTTTCAATGGGAAATGATCTTTGATAGTTTTTTTTTTTGTTCTCCTACATTTAGGCACAAGCGAGCTAAAACAGCTTGCATAGGCATAGATTCACAATGTCAAGATAGCATCGCCGTGCTAGGCAGAAAGCAAATAGTTTGCGATTTTCTGATTGCGCTGGCTGCCAATCCGCGAAGACAAAGGTGACTTTTTGATACCTTGGGCATTTTAAAGCTGGCTGAAAGATGTGAATACATGACCACATTTTTGGAACGATTTCCACATATGTATGTAATTTTATGTAGTTATGTATATATATATATACACCTAAAATACCTGTAATATATGTATATCATGTCAAAATCATTCACAGCTTTGGTCAGACTCTCGCGAGGTGGGTAACACTTCTGAACTTGTCCGGGGAGGCTCCGCTGTGCGAATACACCACGGTGATCGCCTTGGGTCCCGACACGGCGTTGACCCTGGGGCGGCAGGGGCGGGCCCGGCATGGGCGGTGGGCCCGGCGACCCGAGGCTGGAAAGTTCATCTCTGCCTTGATGGGTGCCATGGTCGCACTGTTGGCTTGAGTTCCATTACCCCCACGAAGCAGCGGATGCCACACATGCACAATAGTTGCAGATGGTTGCAGCATGGTTGCAGCATGGGAACGAAAGTGAAACATGGAGAGACATTTCGGTGGGGACGGCAGTGACCCCCCCGCTGAGGATTGATCGGGGTCGGCTTCGTGACGATTCCCATGGGAGTTCTTGGTTCAGGCTTCCAGGACCTGTTGGAACAGGAGGAGGAAGCCACTGCATCCACTGCCCCAAAAAAGCCAGGCCAGGATGGGTTGGAACTGGGATGGCTTGGCTGATCGTTGGCTTGTCACATTAGGCCCAGCTGTGGAACCTCAGTGGATGACCTTCAGTGAAGAGCTCGGTTGGACATGTTGGACATGTTGGACATACTATATAATAATATAAATATACTACTGCATGTAAGGCATCACATTCATCGCTTCATTCGCTTCATGGGTAGATGGGATCATTGTGAGGCAAAACATGGACTTGGAGATCAGAGTCTGATGGGATTGGGTTGACACAGCAAAGATGGTCAGTTCGCTTCATGCTCGCAGAGCTTCGAAGTTCAGCCTGTTCAGCCTGAGGACAACTTGTATACAAGTTCCTGCAAGGCTCAGCAGCGAACCAGGCCACGTCACATGTTTGCACCATTTTGCACCCTGTTCAAGATGGTTTGAGTGGACCAAATCTCTTTCGCAAAAGGTCGAAGACCTGAATCGCTGGGAAGCCCGTGCGGTGTATTTTGAACGACTTATTTTCTTCACCATTTTTGCGGCCCGGCGGCAATGGACATGGCGGCACCATGCGGCACCTAGATGGACAGCATAGATTCCAACTGTCAGTGCTGAGGTGACTGTTATGGCTGCCATTATGGAGCAGCTGTGTTGATGTGCAACATGATGTGAAATGATGTGAATGGATCGTGGATCAGAATGGATCAACTGAGAAGCGACATGACGATGCAAGACCATTTTAAAGCATCCTTTGGCTGGAAACACAGCGTTCTTGCAAAGCGTACAGTGTTGAAATGTGTTGAATGTTAGCCTTGCACTTTCGATGTCTCGTGAAGCTTTGACAAAACCCAGCATCCAAGTGTTTGCTGAGCAGGAGACCGTGGATGGCTTTGATCCACCTGGCTCCTTCAACCGTCAGGCGGTCCATGCAACGGACAGGTTTGACGCAAAAAAAGAGCCAGTACTGTGATATCTATGATTATTGATTATTGTATATTATTGTTGGACGTTGCTCGATGCTTTTGATGCTTTGGATGCTTTCGAAAGGTTCTGGATGTCATTGAGATCATGGCCACACTTCTTTTCACCGTTGAGTATGGCCTTCGGTACTTCTCAGCACCAGAGGCTCCGACGATGATTGGCCCAGGCATACTTTCATAATTAACATTGTTTCATATTGTTTTCTCTAAAAGTTCCTGATCCATAAAGTCTATCAAGTTCCCACATTTCTCTTCAGAGAAGCCAGAAACAATCCAGAATATGGAATGAATTTGGATGAATCCGGCTCTGCACTGCTCAAGGCTTTGCGTTTTCAATCGTTTTTTCTCTTTTCTCAGGCACCAGAGTGGGCAGCCAGGGGCTACGCTGGAAGCTCGGTGGCGGGCCGTACCAAAGCCAGGTGGATGGACGGGGCACCGAGGTAAGTGACAGTGCAGCTCGGTGGAGTTTTGCCACATCCATCTCCTCCATCATTGACCTTTGCGCCATCGACCAGTCCTCAGTACATCTCAGGTCATGAAAAAGTACTGTCAGTAACTTGTGATATCTTGTGGCTGTTTAAAAGAGGATCAAGAGGTGGACATCCTTAAAATAAAAAAACGGTAAACTTACCAGGGGACCAATGGGATCCAATGGGGACCAGGCAGAAACCATCATAGTTGGGACTCCCTCCCCCACACCATGCGGTGACAGGCACCATACTACCTGGCCCTCTGCGGATCCAGCCTGGCTGATCAGTACGATGGCGAGCTGCGTGCCTTGATCTGGTGTTGAAGGTCGGTGGTTCCATCTTTTTTTTCACTTTCTTTAATGTCAAGCCAAATGAAAACTTGGTGCACTTAGAAATTCTATGATATTCTCATGTTTTGAAGGACGTGCTGAAACCTGCTGAAACCTGCTGAAACCTGCTGAAGCAGAATCTGGTGGATTTATGATGGCAGTTCAACAGTCCACGTTAAGTCCACAGACCTCAGTGTGCCATGTGTGCCCGAGGCATGCTTCGGATCTTTCGACTGTCCAGGGCTCTGTCAGATCATGGTTTTCACATGATTTCTCTGTGGATCCTCGTGGCCAGGGACTGCAATTGACGCTGGTAGGGTTGCCCCTGGTTTCACATCGTTAAAATGTTCAGGCTGACGCTGGACAAGTACATTCCATCTGTGCCTGAGAACCCAGGAGTGTGCTGTTTTCAAGCGCAGTTCTGCTTTTTTCAGACTTGAAGATTCAGCTGATTCAGCTGTCGCTATCAGGTCATTGATTGGAAGGGTATTCGCAAAGCACGCAAAGGTGCAGTGTCTGTTGCATCCCTCATTCTGCCTCCACTCTTCAGGAACGGTGAAAAGTTGGTCGATGATTTGTTTGATGACCTGTTGAGGTTGATTATGCAATAAGATCTTATACGATATTAATATATATTATATATTAATGTGCCCCACACACACAAACACCTCTACATCATTGGCTTCATAAATGATCAGGATTTCCAGATGGCTGCCTATGCTTCAGCCTCGCCCGAGCCCCAGCTGCTTGCTCCACGCGAAAAAGACTCCACCGTTTGTGCGTTCGCAGTTTTGGTGGACCAATGATTGCGTATAGAAGCCAATGATTTCATTGATTTCAGTGGCATATGTAAAGAGCTGTATGTTGGTCTACTTTGGTAATCTTTGACATGATGTTTATTCCTCTGACTTGGGATCAAACGTCGCATGAAATGGTGAATGGCAAAGTTGTGCGCTGATGTGTTGCCAAGGCTTTGGTTGATTTTCTCAGCACTGATGTGGCTCACCGAGAGACACGACACAACAGAGGCCTGGCTGCCCTATGACCAGTCGTTGTCAGCAGGTCATCCAATTATTGAAGGTAGATGACCTTACCATGGCCCAGCGATACGGAACCATGTTCAGCGCCATGTGGGTGGCTCAGGGTGGATCACAATGGGTGAGTAGAGGGAAGGTATGGGAAGGTCTTTGTTTCGCAAGCAGCGAAGCAATTTCCAAAACTTCAATTGCAATGATGATCATGATGTATCATGATGTATCATGATGTATTATGATGTATCATGAGGTTCCGTGTTAATTTCTATCATCTTGACTCTTGATGAAATTGATGACATGGAATGCACCTTAGGCCATACACCTTGGTTCACCTCACAGGAGTGACTGGTGGATGTCCAGCAAAAATGGTGCTGTAATGGGATGGAACCAGACAAAATGCTCAGAGAGAATGTGATGCAATCGGATTTTAATGTGATTTAATTGGATTTTATTTGTCATGCCAGGAGATTATCCCCTGATTGACTATGATTTCCCTGCCAAGTGCGTGCTATTCCTCGCCCTGCTCTTCGCAGTTGGAGTGGGCATCTTACAAGAATCGGGCAGAATCGGTTTGCTGTTGCTAGGTGGAATGTCATTGAATTTCCCATTTTATATTCATTTTTTTAAATATCTATCTATGAATCTACCTATCTACCTATCTACCTATCTATCTATCTGTCTGTCTGTCTATCTATCTATCTATCTATCAATCAATGTATCAATCAATGTAATTATCTATCAATCAATGTATCTATCTATCTATCTATCTATCTACCTACCTACCTACCTACCTATCTATTTGGCGAGTATCCCCAATTTTTGCACAAACCCATGGGTGTTTGGATTTCAGAGCGGCCAAGGTGGTGTCAGTTCCCACCGGTCTCTTAGCATCTGGCTTCACGCAGGTGGCGCATGGCCGAAAGGGAGAAGAGATTGATGGCACTTGACATGATTTGATGGCCTTATCTGATACTGTATATATATATAATATCTGATTTAATTTCTCATCGGATTCTCGCAATAAGACATAGATCTGAGGCGTTCGTGTTCCGCACAGGAGCTGAAAAAGTTCCGGGCAGAAGAAAGACAGAAACGAGTGGATGCAGCCACCACCATTGAGCGAGCAGCTTTGCAGCAAACCTCCAAGCTGACCAAGTTGCCATCCATAGCAGTTGCACACTGAAGGCAATCATCAGCTACTTGCGGCGGCGCCGTCTTCGAAAGATTACTGAAGAGACAAAGGCTGTGTGGACAGTTTTGAGCTTCAAATAACTCAATGTAAGCTACATGTAGATCATGTAGCAGCAGTGACAATGCAAAAATGTAACACGTACAACATGTGATGGCGCATGCACTTTCTTCGGATTCTTGTGCCGAGAGTGTTTGCCCTTACCTCGAGCTCAAGGCTCAGAGCATGAACTTGAAAAGACAAAAGGACATCGTGAAAAAGGACGCTTGTCGTTCAGAGTTCATGGCCTCGACTGTCTTGAAAATCGACATGTACAAACGCATACTACCAGACTACCAGTAGATACAGCAAAGAATGACGAATATAACTCATTTTTATGGATATTTATGGCACTCTATTTTTTGTATTTCATGGTTATCAGTTATCAGTTATCAGCTCCTCCTCCCCCTCATCCTCATCCTCATCCTCACTCATCAAGCTGCATCTGTTTGACCGAAGGACAACCCAAACAAGATCAAAATGGTCGACTTTTTAGAACAAAAGACCCTAGCGGGACGTGTGTGGAAGAAGGCTCGGCCGCAGCCCAAGTAAGTATATAGTATAGAGTGCTTTAGAAGATATATCTCAGACTCGTACTGGAACGAAACCCAACCCGAGCAACAACCATTGCAATCCATTGCACCACAGGTGCGACTGTACACTGGGGTCCGACGTTGGCATCACTCCCCCAACATACGGTCGTAGTTTCAGTGACATCACATATGGATTTGGAATATCAATATCAATGTATATTTAATATATATATTATATATATAATAGTAATATAGTATAATATAGTATAATATTAATATAGTATAATACAGTAATATATAGTATAACACTATATTATTAGTTATAATATTTCAATGGCCTTTGGGGGTTCCTAATGATGCCGACAGTGATGCAGGTTATGCTGCTCCTGATCATTCTGAATGTTCTGGCAGTGATTGGCGAAAGCATGTCCTGGGTGAAGGAGGCACAATACATAATGCTACCCACATCTATTCACAGCTGTGGATGCAAAACCCTTGTTGGTTAATGATTGTAGGGGGTTTTATTCTGTTATATTGTCCAATATATTGGGGATATATTGGAGATATTTTGGGGATCTATCGGCTCTCATACTGTAAGCCGATCCTCTTTTTTTAATGCGGCTCATGGATCGTCATGATTCTGGGAGGCCCTTGGCTCCGACTTCTTGAATGGTTTCGAGTTAATGAGTGTGCTACTCTTTACCTTCGAATACCTAGCAAATGTGTGGTCAGCAAATGCCAACATCAGGCAGGGCCATGTTAGATGAGTGGAGAGATGAAGTTGTGCTCAGTTGTGCTCGTTGTGAACCCGTCGTCAGGTACTGTTTTCATCGTAGCGATCTCAGGAAATGATTTGAACATGTTTCAACAGCTCCACTTTGACTTGACTTTCTCAAAGTTGCTGTCCTGCTTTGGTGGATGTCCTGATTTGATGGTTTGAACATTGCAGGTCGAAATTATACCCTGTCCTTCTTTGGTATTGTGGACCTTGTGACTGTGGCACCCTTCTGGGTTCAGCTGCTTGTTTGAGCATTGCACACCAGGCAAATATGGATAGAGCATGGCAGATCTCCCACATATCGTTCAAGCCGTGGGGTAAATAGATGAGAAAATCCTCTTGGAGCATTAATTTGTGTAATATATTTGTGTGTAGGATGTGGCCTGCGAATGCGCAGTCCAAACCTAATTATCCAAATTTCTCTTTGAAGCCGAGGAGTGCGATGTACCTTAGTGGGATGCAGGCGGAAAGTCGTGTTTTGTGCATAAATCTTTAAACCATGCACTTGTGGCACAAATATGAGAGATTCCCTTGTTTAAAGTATTTTAAAGTGTTTCAAGCCGCCATCAACTGCCACATTTCCGGCACACTCCGGCACTGTTCCGGCAGTTCAATGCCTTCATCTTCCGCATCGCGCGGCTGCTACGAATCCTGCAACTGGAAGACTTCGTGGAAAGCTTCACCTTGCTGGACGATGCATGGCGTAGCTGTCGGGAGACCATGGTTGCGACGGGGTCACTGCCTGAGATGGCGGAAACGGATGGAAAATGGACGTTTTCCCGGTTGGAGGTTGAAATATGGAGGTTTCATGAGGTTTCCTAAAATGGAGGTACCCCAAATTGTCCAAAGTTAGATTAGTTTAGTATTGAAACCTATGGTTTTGGGGATCCTCCATTCTAGGAAACCTCAATGCCTGGTGATAATCTGGTGAAGGTTCATGGCCTTGCTGGTTTGGGTCTGTGGGGCTGTTCTCTTCTACGAATTTGAGCAGGACTACGTCTGAGGGATTCGAAAAACAGATCCACATATCCACAAAATTAATGACCTGGCAATTTCTGGCGAAGGACAACCCTGCCATGGAGGGCGCCTTCAAGGTCGCATGCGTTGAAACTCCGGTAGTCACTGGTAGTCGGCAAATGTGGCTGATCCGGCTGATCCTTCAGGACCTGCCGTCCAGCATGTCGGAATCTTAGCGCAACAGACGTTCCATGCCGTTCCTGAACGTTTTCCGGTTCTGATCAGAACACACGTGTTTGCCCGGCATTGGCATCATGGACCGAGGTACTTCACCATCATTTTCCTCGGCGGCGAGTGGGCAAAAATAGACTTCACACCAGGCGTGATCCGTGCAAGACAGGCCTGAAAGCTTGACGCAGCGGCGCAGCGTCAGGTGGAAAGATTGTGTGCGTGATTTATTGTGTCGGAAACCTATGGAAACCTCGGATGTCTGATGGCTGAGACTGAGCCATGCTGAAGTTTCCTGCGTGAGAGCTGAGGTTGTGGGTATCGGGTTCCTTGGAGTGATATTGAATGATGCCCCGCAGAGCTGCAATCCGAATCCGAACCAATCGGTGTTTCCATGATCGTGGTTGGCTCCTTCAACTTGCAAACGGTTTCATGATGTTTCATGTGAGTTTCATGTGAGTTTCATGTGAGTTTCATTTTGTATGGATTTCTATGGAACAACTTTTTTCAAGACTCCAGATTTTGACACGCCGAATTTGTTTTTGAGGCTCTATGGAATACCCATCGGTGCCGTGTTTGAAGCTTTCAGTGATGTTTTGGCGGCTATGGGCTCAGTTTTTCCACTATTTTCCATGCACCAAAAGGAGCGGCTTTTTTAAGCACAAAAAAACCATGCAGGGCTGCCTGAGATGTTCTGACATTGCCTGAGGATGAAGAGAAAGCAGAAGATGAGTAATCGGTCTGCGATCCGTTAAGATCATTAAGCTCCGGCTTGAGCAGCCTGGATATTGTACACTACCTGCGATGACAGAGGCAAAGCCTCCGAAATCTGCCGATTGATTCAACACTAATGACTCTTGTGCCGTGTGGCCATCTGCGTTTAAAAGCCTGAGGGATGTGGATGGATGTGGAGTGTGAGGAATCATAAGTTATAAGGAATCTTTGCAGCTGTTTCTTGAATTCAATCTGCCAACATGTCGGTATGGATCAATACCTATTAATACCATTTTTAGTGGGATGAACATCCATTTACCAGCTATTTTGGGGTTCACTAGGTACCATGCTTTTGACCCATCCCCATGTGTCGCCTCGTGTATTGAAACATTGGATTTTCATCGACAGATCGACAGGATGATGTGTGCACGGAGCTCCGCCACCGAGCTGAGCAAGCGGATTTGGAGGCCCTGGGGATGCCAGGGACATCCAGAGACAGATCGAGCTGATGCGATTGACGCATTTTACCCTCTGGTAAACTAATGTAACTATGGAAAATCACCATTCTTAATGGGTAAATCCACTATAGATGGCCATTTTCAACAGCTATGTTAGTTTACCAGAGGGTACCATATTTTACCTACGCATCTCGCCAGGCCAGAGCAACTCGAGAGCGCAAGCCCTGGTCTCAGATCGTTTTTGAACAATAACATCAGAGATGGATCCAGATGTTCACACAAGTATAGCTGTTCAATGGCAATAAAAGTCTAGCGCATCCAGTAGCACTATCTTTGCTGATTTATTGGGTGCATGATTTGTTAAGAACAATATATAGATTATACAGATACTGATTGATGGCCCCATTTCGTATTTCATCGAATTTCCTTCTGCATTTCTATATATATTTCTATTGACAATACTATCCAGTTACCCTCTGGTAATTTAACATAGCTATTGAAAATGACCATTTAGAGTGGATTTTCCCATTGAACATGGTTATTTTCTATAGTTTTTTGTATGTTTACCAGAGGGTATCCCATGTTATCCCCATGATACCCCTGCGAAGGGTGCCTGAATGATCTGGGGTGCACGGCGCGTAGGTCTCGACAGGCGGAGCAGATGCGATACCTGGACCTGCCTCTTCAACTCACTGAACCAGGGTGCTGGGAGCTAAAAAAAACAAAAAACTAGACAATAACACTCAAACATGTTAAGGAAAAACTCTTGGAGGGAGTGCCCCTTCGGCGGCCCAAAAGTGGGATTTGTTTAGCCTTTTTTAGTTTTTCTTTAGTTTTTTCTAGTATTTTTCTAGTTTTTTTTTTCGTTTTTTCTAGTTTTTTAGGTTTTTTTTAGCTTTTGTTAGTATTTTTCAGTTTTTTTGTAGTTTTTTCTAGTTTCTTTCAGTTTTTCTGAATTTTCTTTGGTTTTCAAGTTTTTGTAGCTTTAACATGTTCTCTGAATTCTAATTTTCCTTCGGTATTCCCTGTTTCTTCTGTAGATTTTGAATTGATTGTATGGAGTGCCCGTTGTGAGATCTCCAAAAAGAACCAAATATCACGCAGAATAGGATTGGATTTTTCTAGCATTTTGTAGTTTTTGTTTGGATTCCTTCAGCTTCTTGTCGGGTCCCCCTGGGATTCCTTTAGCATTTTCCAGCTCCAAATTGTTTGAAGGGACACCTCTTGAAGAGGCATGCCATATGATCCTATGAACAGAACTGATCAAACTTGGGGGTATTTCAATTATATTATATTATCGGATATTATATTGAAATTTAGAGCTTTCACAATCTAATGCGCACATATGTAGCATATAGCAACTATTTGAATCTATTTGATCATATCTGATATCATATTATCTGATATTTTTAAGCGTTGGAACTTCACCACTTCCCCGAGCAACGTGCATGTGAGCCTTGTCGTTGATCCGAGAGGATGACAAGCGGAGCCACTGTGAAGAGGCAAGCGAAGGAGCCCGGGGCCAAGTTGGCCTCGATGCCTCACCTGGATGTTGATCATGGTTGATCCCTGGGTTGCAGGAATTGATCTACAAATGTAGCAATCGATCACAGCTCTTAAAATATGGTTCATGGCATTTTTGATCATTTTTGTTGGATGACTCCGCAACCAGGGGGTATCAATAATTATATATAATTATCACTCCGGGGTTTTTTCAGCACAGGTTTTCAACAACATGGTGAAACTCCGAACAGCCGCCCCAACCCTTGTGGCAATCCGGGCACTGGTCATTGGAGGTGGAACTTCTGCGTTCATCGCAGCAGAATCTACAAGCCATGATCCCCAGATCCCAGGATACTTCGATGCCCGGATGACATCCACTGGACATCCACTGGACACCAACTCTTTTCACTTCCACGTTGCACCAAGGCTGAGTTGAAACGACTGGAGGTGCAGGTGCGCTATTGCAGTGGGCGAGGTTGTACTTACAAAAATCTTACTAGTACATACTAGTAGCCTCTGGTTATTGAACATATTTAACTAGATTTTAACTAGTCGCTATGGACAATCACCATTTCGAAGAACTCAAATCATCAATGGATGGTCGGCCATTGTCCTCCAAGGCTGAGCCGATGTTGTCGCAGCTGAGTACTCTGCGGAAGCAGCTTGCAAAAAGCGAGGACGTCACGACCAAATGGAGCTCCCTTTTAACCAAACATGACAAGTGGTGGTCAAAAGGGTCAAAGGAGTGAAATGATGTGAAATGGGCTAAAGGAATTAATAGGCTTTAAGAAGGTCTATATATTGTATACCATTGTATATCACAAAAGGATCAACACATGTCAAAAGACATTCTTGTTGTCCGTCATCAATGATCCCGACTGAGTGACACCAACAGGAGAGTGCCAAAGAACATGCTGCACGGCTAGCCACCTGCAAGGCCGAGAGCATTCCAGAAAAGGGCGAACCTGATATCATTTGATATCATTTGATATCATTTGATCATATTTGATCACTATGTATCTAAATGATCCTAAATGCACATAGAATATGATGTAATTGATATGCACATATAAAATCATATAAAATCATATAAATATGGGTCTCTGTGTACACATAATTTAGAATTATAAATTCTGATCAATCTCATTACTAGTGTGATTTATACTTGCTATCCAGTGCTCAGGCCTTGCTTCCACAAATGGCGGGGGATCTGAGAGTTATGCAGCCAGCTGCATCGTTCTTCCAGCTACTTGAGCTGCAAGTTGCCAGTGAGGTTTCAGAGCTCAAAGCAGCACAGGTCAGTGGCTGCTGTGCCGATGATGTGGTAAATCCAACAATAATCCGTCCCTATTTAAGATGGGTAAACACCAGCTACTTCTGATAGAATTGGTAGTTTATTGGATGTCGTAGCTGGTGTCGTTCTATGACATTCTGAGTTGCTGCCGCAACAGGTGGAAGAACTGTCCAACCTGCGAACTTCACAGCTTGAGGACAAGACCATGCCAACATTGTCATAGAAGATGTCAGAAAGCTCTGTCATTCCTCTTGCAATGCGTGGGCATTTGTAATGATCATATAATGAATCACACACGTATAATTAATATATAATCAATACACATACTGTGTATTTTTTAATCTCAATGCACAACACTTTGAATCTACTGTATGGTGAGATATAGCCTATAGCAGACAACATTTTATGACAGTATCAAAAAAATCACAGGAACTTGCCAAACTTGAAGTTGAGTGGACCACTCAGGCACGGAGCCTCAGCATGGAATTTGGCACCGGTCTTTGGTTATGGAGGATCCCGATTGAAGAACCAATGGGGAAATGACGTTACACAGCATCAAAGACACCAAACTGACCTCTCAATGTTCCCCAAAGATAAAAACATCTTAGTGATGAGCTGTATCTTTACACTTCAGCGATTACAAGCTGAAGCAAGCTGTGAGATTCTGTCGAATTGGTTGTTGAACAAAATTTTAGGCCCAAAGATCTATAGGCCTCAACATGCCTCAACAAAGCCCGGTCCAGGGTGTCCGGATGGCACATATGTACCCGACATGAGGGCATTGAAGGCCCTCGCTTGGGCCATTCTGCAGCTGACCGAAGCACTACAGCCACTTCCAAGCCTTCAGGAGGACTTTTTTGATTTGCTGCCGTCACAGTATCCCTTCCCACTACCCAGCTGGAACTTGGACCGGGTTGCTGGTAGATTGAGCCCAGCCTGCAAAAGTGTTCAAGACTTGCTGGCTTTGGCCATTGCTTCTTCGCAACTTCACAGTTTCAACGTGAGATCTGATGGTTCCTACGATTTATCCTTGCCGGCCTTCGATCAACAGCTCCCTGGGGAAGAAGTACAGTTGTTGCTGCAGACCTGTGAAGGGCTGGCAGTGCACTATGCCAACTTAGCTTCAAAGCTGCTCTTCCTCCAACTCCTTTGCCCTGCTGGTCCTACTGGTCCGGCTGGTGCTGGTACTTGTATGGACGACGGTGATCATGATCCACTAGGCCGAGAAGGCTCTTTCTGTCAAGGGGTGGGGCTACCCAGAGAGGAACCCTTTGAAGCTGGCCTTGGTATCTCTGAAGTACATTTTCGAGCCACAGCTCGAATGGAGCGTTTGCTATCGACATTTTGCCACAGAGTGGGGAACAACTGGGGCGATTTACAGATGTTGGCTGACCGCGCAGCTGAGGAGGTGCGTAGCTTCTTGGATCACGCCTTTCAAAGCTTGTCAGTGATGCAAGGGTTGCCGGCAATTCCACCGCTGGATGAGTTCCTGTTGTCTGCTGGGGCACCTGTCTTCTATCATGCCCCCATTGCAGGTGAACGTTGGCATGTTCTGCAGCATATCCTTTCAACATTTTCAAGTGCAGATCGGGCAAGAGGGCTTAGAGTAGCTGAAGTTGGAGTGGAGAAGGGGATGACCATTACCTACTTGATGAAGCACGAGAAGGCGATTGCAGAATACGTCGCAGTGGACCCATGGCACATTCCAGGCAAGTCCGAAGAGAGCAACGCTATCCTTGCGGCATATCATGAGAATCTGCAGGCGTGGTCCCGAGAGGAAGAGGCTTTCCAACGACATGGACAGAGTGCAGTGCGCATCATTCGGAAGGCTTCGGAGGAGGCGGCAGGTTTGGTTGAAACCGACTACTTCGATTTGGTTTTCATTGACGCTGACCACACCTTTGAAGCAGCCAGACGAGATATCCAGGTGTGGAGGCGAAGAGTGCGGCCCAATGGCGGAGTCATGGCAGGACACGACTTCTCGCTGTTCCACCCAGCGGTATCCTTGGCTGTTGTGGTTGAATGCAGTGCAACAAGCAGTGATGCGGAGCGTTTTCCATTGCAAGCAGAGGATGGAAAACCCATCATTCATTTATCTGCAGATTCTGTATGGTGGGTTGTCAGGTCATGAGGTTGGCCATCGAACACGTCTCAGTCCTCCTGTTGAACATCCTGTGAGTCATACCTGAACTGTTCAGTTCAGTCTGATGCTGGTCGATGCTGGTTGTTTGATGTTATGCCTTGGCGCAATGGCATCATCGGATGACAGTGGTGGTCCTGGAGCTTCATAAAGGGACTTCGGTGGACAGACGACGACAGATGTACATAATTGTACATAGATGATCAGAACTCGAACATTTCCGCAGTTGGAAGTTGAAGAGCCTGCAGTGACGCAGAAACCAAAACCAAGCGCCGTTTCACAATGATTTTCTGCCTTGGCTCATGATTTTCACATATTTTTACAGGGAGTGCCTGCGAGTGCTGAATGTTTAGCTGAGGTTTCGGACTTGAAGTCCTACCATTCAGAGGAGGTTCGTAGTCGTGTGCCCAGAGGCCTAGGGATGCCTAGGGTCTAATGGTATACTAACAGCTGCCTGGAGCAGAAGTGCACTGAACCGGGTGTCGGTACTTGCGGTAAGTCGCACAGTCACCACATGATATGGGAGCCATGTTCATCATCCTGATCCTGATCCTCATCCTCATCCTCCTGGTGGTTTTTATTCCCTAAGTATCCCTGTTGGATTTTTCCTTATAAAATGATAGAGCTTGAATTCCGTATAAAACCTAAGAAACCAAGTTGGGCCCAACCAAATTATACCTATAAAACTGGGCTCCAAGACCTCCCCAGAAATTTCCTCCTGGATCCCCAAGCATGTGTGGAACATCCATGGAACCAGCGCCGCATGTTCCGTTTTTCTGCCCGAGGTTTGAGGCACCAAATTGAAGAGACGACCCGGAGATGTCAAAGGCCGCACTCTCTTTGGATGCCGTGGGCATGGCGACCCAACACTAGGATAACACTACGGGCCCAAGGAACATTGTGATTAAACTTAAAAAAACAAATCATTGTATAATTTTATATAATATTATTATTATATATATATATGATATATTATGCCCAAAAAAAAGGCAGGTGAGTAAAGGATTTGCATGAATTTGGTCACCATAAGCGCAGGCATGCCGTGATGCCATAGTGGGACCCTGTTCTTCAGCATGCCACATGGGTTTGAACATCATCCAGCCTATCCCAACCTTATGCTCCCATGATCTGTTGCTGAGCTTGTGGGGTTCTTGGTCATCCCCTTCCACTTCATGGAAATACACCTAGCTCACCTCATAGTCTCCTTGAATGGGTTTTGAACGTTTTGAGTTTTGAGTCGCCTAACACATTCCCACACACAATCACACATACACCTGTTGGTTCAGATTAATTCTACACAGTTCTAGACTCAATGAGGCGATATAAATTATAAATCAAAGATATCGCACACACAGACAATCACACACACATAGACATACGTAGTTATACAATGTTATACAATGTTATACTTTTATGCAACTGTTATACAGAAAAATACGATTAAATACTTGCATAATCTTGCATACATAATATTAACATGTTTTACATGTATATATTTCATATATTTTAATATACTGTATATATAGTCAAATCATATGCACATTGAATTTATCACGCGTACTGTATATGCATCCATTTTAGATCTCAATTTGAGTTACTTAGTAACTAGACCTTAACCCATAGAAAGGCCACCAACTGATCAGGATGTTGATGGAGCGGGACGATGCCAGAGAGCAGTTGTTGGTTCGTCAGCGGGAGGCAGCCATCAGTTTGTGCTTTACGGTTGAAAGCCTTGGCTTTGGGGGCTAAATTCACCATAGTTTCTTGCAAAATTGCCTTAAACCAAACCAATCCATTGTGTGTTTGGGATGTGTTCTTTAACCATAGGTGCCAAAATCATAGGTGTGTCATAGTATGTAATGTTGGTTATGTATGGTTATGTTGGTTCAACCACGGCAGGGCGCCCGCGCCCAGCAACAATGTTTGGGATCCCAAGCCCAGTTGCGGTACAGCTTGTGCCGTGCGTCCATGGAGCCTTTTTTTTTCCCAAGCCGTGATTATTTTCTGATAAGAACCATCTGATGATTTCAGTATATTTCAGTGAGGTTCTGATGCTCGACACGAGGTGGGATGCTGTAGACTCTAGCAATCTCTAGTCCATTTGATTCGACCGGTGTTGGCGTCTACTTTCGTCTTTGAACATGCATATTTCAGCATTAAGGTGCTTGAACTTTCAGTTCAAGTCAGATCAACCACCCCTGGTACTGTCAGTGGCCAAGTGATGGAACTCTGCGCCGTGCCATGGCCATGGCCATGGATGGATGGCCACGGGATCTCAGGCGACACCAGCACGGCATTTGAACCGATCGCTGTCGGCATCGTTCTTGGACTCGCCCTACAAGATGTCCATCCAGGCGCTTGGAAGATCTCAGAACCTTGGAGAACTTGGAGAACTGCATGTGGTATTGTGGTGTATTGACGTGTATTGTGGATCTATGATATCTATGTGGGTCCATTATCAAAATTATCCATTCCATTCCATTCCGATTTGATGATCTAGGTGGGTCTCCGATTCGCAAGGATTTCTTGCTCCATTGGCAGTCCATTGGTTGACTTCCTCAGTGGGATGATCGCCGAAGGATGCCCGAGAACTCGACGCAGAAGCCTTGGATTTGAGGCAGCGCTGCCGAGACCTGGAAAGGCTTTGTTCCAGGCGCACGCTGTGGAGCCGTACATGGCAGATGGAAATGACAATATGTGACAATCAGTTGTAATATCCTGGAAGTGACTACTGATTTTTCTATATTTTTCTGATATTGATCATAAATTGATCATAATAGATCACGGTAGTTGTGGAGAGAGACAGAGAGACGGCAGGTTAGTGATGACATTGTCATTTCCATAGTATGATCTCTCACGAGCAGATAGTGTGATAGCCCACAGCCTGCTCGCACCATCTCGCATTTGCAGGATGCACAGCTTGCTGGAGAGAGGGCAGGAAGTGGGAGCCTTCAGCATCCTTCGCATCCTTTGCCTGTGGCCACTTGAAACCCGCATGTTGCCCAGACCCAGGCTTGTGAGCGGTGGAGGAAAGCCGGAGTCAGCCTGAAGCTTTAGCAACTCTGTGCCACCAATGCCCTCCAATTTTTTCAACATATTCAACAGAATCAACCAGATTAACCACTCGTTCTGAGCAGTTCTGAGTCAGATCCCACAGACATTGAACAAATTGAGGCATGGCCACCCTTGAAGATCAAGGTGATGTGCTTCCCTTCGAGCCGGAACCTCCATTGTGGGTTTGTTGGATTTCGTTGGCAGGTAAATGGATTTGGTTTGATTTGGTCATCTGAAAAACAGTGAAAAACCACCTGAGCTTCGCAAGCAAAATACAAGAACATACATTGCCAGAGCTCTTCTCTTGCATAAGCATTACTGCATCATTACTATTACTGCATCATTACTGCATCATACTGCATAATTGATATCTTTGCGTGGCTTCAGCAGACCCTGTCCAGGCTGGGTCCGGCCTGACCTCCTGAGGAGGTGATCCGCTGGACCTCACAGGATGTCTCGTAGTAGGGTCTCTGTATCTTAGGACGTCGATGCGATGAATTCATCAAAGATGGAGCATGCGGAGATATGCGGAGGGGGGACACGGTAGAAGGTAGACTCAGGTAGACTCCAGGAGGGCTTGTTGTTGATGAGATTCATGAGTTTCCAGTGCAGCAGTAAAGATAGTAAAGACTGAAAACGAAGCAAGCCTTGCTTCCAGATCTTCCAGTGCCCAAGGCTTGCGCCAAACACCTGGATGTTGAGACAGCGAGAATTACGTCCCACTTTCATCGCCACAGCATGATGCAAAGCTAGGACAGCTAGGACGTCTCGCAAAACACTGCTATGGCATCATGACAGTCCAGACACACAGCATCATATACTATCATGTGCTGATTGTGCCGTAATAAGTGGAAACACATTTACCATCATTTATCAATTTCACAGGCAATTCGGTAGATTCAGATATGCCCAAGAGTTTTCCAGAGCCCACATCTGAGAATTTCAAGAGCCCGCTTTGTTCTGCCAAAGTCGCAGCGAAGCAACTTGCAAGATGTCGAGGGAATCTGAGCCATTGTGGCCATCCGGGGCAGCTTGGATGATAGTTGCGTTGTTTGTTTCCCTTGCCTGTTGTGAGTTATTATCAATTATTATGTAGACATTAGCTGTTTTCCAATGTTTCTATCAGACGTATGTTGTATTTTGTTGATTCCCCTTTCGAGATTTCGATCCTGATAGATCCGTCCGAGGTGGTCCCTCTTGGAGTCGTCGACTTAGTAGTTCGACTTGAGCATTCCCATTCTGTTGATGAAAAAAAAGTGTGGAATCCTTAAGCCCAAGCCCGCTATAGCCCGCTTGCCCTTGCACAGTTGCAGCCACGTTCTAAACCCTTGTGTTCATGTTCAGGAAGGGGCCCCTTGTAAGGGTGTGGCGTAAGCCAAACTCTGGTGAGCGTAAGCCAGCGCAAGCTCCGCGTAAGACAAGATATGCACGTAAGCAAAACTGGTGTGCGCGTAAGAAAAAATGTAAGCAATGGCGTAAGCATTTCCTTGTTTGGTGCCAGGATGTAAGACATTTAGAACATGGCTCAATTGAAACCCAGCTGCCGAAAGTTCGAACATCGTCATCGTCATCATCATCATCATCATCATCATCATCATCATCATCATGATCATCATCATCATCATCATCATCATCGTCATAGTCATCATGATCATCATGATCATCATGATCATCATGATCATCATGATCATCATGATCATCATGATCATCATGATCATCATGATCATCATGATCATCATGATCATCATGATCATCATGATCATCATGATCGTCATGATCGTCATCGTCATCATCATCATCATCATCATCATCATCATCATCATCATCATCATCATCATCGTCATCGTCATCGTCATCATCATCATCATCATCATCATCACCATCATCATCGTCATCATCATCATCATCGTCGTCATCATCGTCATTATCATCATCATCATCATGATCATGATCATCATCATCATCATCATCATGATCATCATCATCATCATCATCGTCGTCATCATCATCATCATGATCATGATCATCATCATCATCATCATCGTTATCGTTATCATCATCATCATCATCATCATCATCGTCATCGTCATCGTCATCATCATCATCATCATCATCATCGTCATAGTCATCATCGTCATCATCATCATCATCATCGTCATCATCATCATCGTCATCATCATCATCATCATCATCAACTGACCTTCACTGCGACGCTGCGAGGCAGATGACCCGGAGGAGCAAGAGCACCTGGAGGTGGATCGCTGAGGAGAGTGATAGCTCTATGAATGGGATAGGATATAATATATATATATACATACATGTGAGAGAGATATATATATATATATAATATATATAAATATATATATGCATATTATATAAATGTATTCAATAACAAACATCAATAAACCAACAAGGCCTCAAATATCTTCAAACTTCAAACTGTTGTAGTTTCTTTGGGTGTTTGTCGACTCGATTTTTGATATATTTTGATTGGGTTCACCATCAACTCGCCAGGCATGGTGCCGTCAATTCGTTGAAGAGCTCGCCGGATCTGGGTCCAAAACTCAGGTGGAAACTGCCGCTGAAAAACCTTTCGTGTGATGGCGAACATGCTGATTTAACTATATACTGTAACTTGTACAGTAAACAGGTTAAACTCCAGACGGGTCCCAAACCACGATTTAATTCTTCTTACTTCGATTTGACTCTCTTGTACCCCGAATTGATCCTTATATTCTAACAACATCTAACATTTTTTTTTTAAAATATATATATTGAAACTTGTCTTTTCGTGGTTGAACAATTCCCAAGCATCGTTTGGATTCATTGTTTCAAATCGTGGTGATGTACCCGTCTCGATTAAACTCATGAGATATGATATGGGTGTCGTGTTCTAAGTTTGGCATTCAATTGTGCGGAAAATTCCAGGTGCTTGACCGAAAAAGACAGGTATCGCATTGCCTTTTTGGGAGGAAAAATCGTACGTATTGTCACATGGTATTGTGATGTTTGTATGTAATGTCAGCCCAACCACGTGTGGCCAAATTCTCTCAATGCGTTGGGACAGGCCGTCTGCTTAAGAATGAGATACTTGACCTAAGCCTGAGTCCAGGTCTGACGTTGAAGCCTCTGCAATCGAGTTTGGTGCCTAGAATCTAGGGCACCTGATCAGCATTGACCGGCTGCATCCAGCTGCAAACCATGTAATTAAGTGGATGTCTTTGATACCTTTAGGATCCTGTAGGCAACATGCGGCCTAGAAACATTCAGTGTACGTGCAATCCTTTGTTTTGTATTGTTTTGTGACAAATGTCAGCTTGGTTCAGTGGGGGACCATATGCCGTCCTACCTAAGGCCGCTGCGACAGATGGCACCGCATGCGGCACCTCGTTCCCTAAGGGAAGCACGTCTCTTGATGGACCATGGCGACAGAGAGGTCATGCAGAAATGCTCCAGCCTCATCCTCCCACAGAGCGTTGTCTTGGATCGTCTTGGATGATTGCTGCATGGACTCAATGATATCTAATGTACCCTCTGGTAATTTAACATAGCTATGGAAAATCACCATTTTTAATGGGTAAATCCACTATAAATGGCCATTTTCAATAGCTATGTTAAATTACCAGAGGGTATTCTTTGAGGTTGCGCAGAGACGTTTCGCATAAAGGCACTTGCAGCTGGCGCTATGCTGATGACTGCGGGTCCCCAAGTTGGTTTTGCGACCAAACCACCGGTCCACCGGATCCAGACTCAGGTCACCCTGGCAGCCTGGTTTCTCTTCAAGGGTGCTACTTTCACCTCTGGTCAGGCAATGGGTAGGATTAGACCATAAGGCTGCTGGGTTGACAGCCTTTTGCATGTTGGTCAATTTCGGATGTCATCCTTTTGCATGTCATCACAAGTTGCCGGTTCCTGTTTGATCCTTTTCTGCCCGTCTTCTTTTTCATTACCGGGTCCTTTAAGAGATTTTGTGGGTGCTCAGCAACGAGGCGCATCCCAGCTTGGAACTAGCTCAGCAACGTTGGCAGTCCGAGTATGGAGCCAGGCGCTGGAGCTGTGCCACGGTCTGGAGTGCATCCCAAAAAATTGGGGGGAGGCTGTAAGAAGAATGATCCTCATGTATACATATACCAAATTATACCACATAATCATACCATGATCCCAATCATTCCATCCAACATAATCCAACATGTTGTTGTTTTTGAACTTGGGGGCCCGCTCGTGTTTTTTTTTGGGACCTGTTCATCACAGTCCACTTGTGACTGTGCGAGCAAGGAGAGGGATCTCGGACGAATCCACTGCTGCAGGTCGGGCGGTGGTGGTTTTAAACTCGGGGATAAGTCAATTTATGACGACAATTTTTGAAGATGAGGTTTGGTAAATTATGGTAAATAACGTGTCAGTCCGTTGATGGACAAACACTGATTTTTTCACATGGTTTTGATAGATTTTGGGTTTCTCCAAAGTTTCAGACTTGGGAATTCCATAGATCCTTGGAGATCTTTGGAGTATTGAGGGCGACGGCCCAGCTTTGTGCCAGCCATCACGAAGTATGCCAGGCGCTAAGTCGACTTAGCTGTGACTTGAACACTCCATGGTTTCCTGATGCTTCCTGTAGCATTTCATGCCATTACCCTAAAATAATCCCTCAGAGAGATTGCAGTTGTGATCATTTGTGGCTCAGGAAAACTACTACGATGCGGCAAATCCCTTGAGATAGCTGCACTTTTTGGGCGTGTTTTGGATCGGATCTTGGGCAGCTTTTGGCGCTTTTTGCCAGGATAAAGCCGTGGGCTCAACGGAGCCAAAACTATTTCATTATCATTGGTGACTGGGGCAAGGCTGGTGGGTCACAGCCTAAGAGGACTTTGTTTTTGATCATTGGTGGCTGCTAAAACCAACAGTTGATCATTGGTGGTGAAAAACTCTTGGTTTTAAGCCTGGGTGATGCTTGGGGCTTAGGCCCGGAAGTTGTCAGTATGCCGTGGCTGGGAAGTTGCAGCGATCTGCGCTCAGCATACCAATGTTGCTGTGCGAGTCTGTTGTTTTTTTTTTTTGTATCCACCTATTATCAGATAGAGTCAGATAGAGTAACCCCCATAGAAATGTCATGTGTCGCTATTATGTTAGGATGTTTTTTTTGTTTTTTTTTTTTCCGAATATTTGTTTTTAAAGTTTTTTTTGGGGTTGCTATAATATACAATGATATCAACTATCCAAAGTGAACCAATGCCATACTAATATCTAATGTCCCTTTTTAAACGCCAAGGCTTTGTGAAAGCACAGAAACAGGCCACCTTTACAAGTAGGGATCTTGCAGAAGAGACAGCTGTGTAGTTTTTTGCTCAACAGAGCCTGCGGGCCAGGCCGGAAAGCATTTGCTGTTCATCGCATCTGTCCTGGCCTCAAGTGAGATGTCGCAAGGAAAAGATGTCAAGAAGTGGGTGTGTCTGAAATTGGGGTATACCGGGTATACGGTATACCCATCAAATGGCCATTTGATAGCGAAATGATGACAATCCATTGGAACAAGGGGGGTACCCCATTTTCAAAACGCAAGTGGCAAAGTTGAATTCGCCCATCAGGTTGGTGACAATTTCTACTGGACTGGTGTCACTCCAAAGGCCGCCAAAGCGCCATTAAAATCTTTCAGGAGTAAGTGAAGTATGTTGACATACTGTTGACATATTCTTCATCCATTTTCATCCAGTACCGGTCATGCGATTTGAATTCCCTTGGAAGATTTCACATGATTTCACACTTTCACAACTTTTTCCCCAAGATTTTTCAGCTAGTCAGGCCTGGAGGGAAGACTGGGAGGTGTCCATGCCTCAGGGTTCCAATTTTGATCGTTCCATATGGTAGACCTGAGCCCGTTGAGCCCTTCGTAGATCAGTTGCCAGTGCAAGGCCATATGGTCCAAACAATGTCACTTCAGCACTTTATCAGGCTGGACATCTGAATAGTATTGAATAGTCATGCAAGTTCTTCGGTCTGTCACAAGGTCTGACTAAAGAAAGATGGTTTATAGCACCCTGTGGTGATGATCCGGTGGTGGAGGGGGCTGGCTTGTGAGCTCGTATGAGCTCGTACTGTGCCCAAAATGGTGGTTTCTGCCCCATAGGTATTCTTGCTTTGCGACTTTTACCCGTGATAACCCTTGATAATCCTTGAAAATGGAGTATGTATGTATATATACGTATAATATCGTATAATTCTATATATTAAATATATAATATTGAATATATATATATATATATATTGAATATCATTCTGAACATCTATGACATCTAGAGGCAGGGATAGTTGATAGATGTTGTTCCTATATGATCTTCGGGCACCAAAGCTGTATCCAGCTCAGGCCTTGGCGGGTCCTCCTGTGCCAGGTTCCATGGCTCGCGGTCTATGGGAATCATGACTTTGGTGAACATGACCCTTATGCTATCTGTCCACATGCCCAAATCTCAGATCACTTGTTATCACAGAGTGACGTTTTGGAAAAGAAGTTGATGCCCTCATGATATCATCAATATTTTCCTGTTTATGGCATGGCATGTCCCTATCGAGATTTTTTGAAACTTGTAAATAGGATAAAATGAATAACTATGCAAATATATGCGAAAAACACCGCCAAATAGCTACCGGTATGTGCTTGGATGATGGAGGTCTACCCAATTGGCTTGATCAACAAGCAGGCGCCTGCCTTGACTCAACAAGCAGGCAATATGATTGACAGTGCCACCTGTGGCCGCTGTGCTGATCCCTGCCACCCTCATGAATATGTGACTTCGTTGCTGATCTGAGGCATATTCGGGGAATCAGTTGAATCAGGTTGGTCACCCAAGTTCTGACGTCAGACAGCAGGTAGCTTTGACATCTGGATATGGCACCGGCATTTGCCTTTCACGAGGACCGCAATCCGAATCGGCCGGACAGCACCAAGTGCCTTGGGTTTGAAGATGTTTGAAGTATACCTTCCGTGTCCGCCATGACACCGCAACTATCTGTAACTGCTGTAGGTTTGTGGCTCCTAAGGTATTGGCAGCAATCCACTGCAACAGAACTTTTTGAATATGTGGGGTTTACCGTTTACCGATGTCTTATCTGCTCTAGTCCCAGCAGCTTGCAGAGAACACATGAATAATGAGACGTGAGAAGACCCAGGTGATCTTTAAAGAACTCAGGTCCTTTTGGATGCCGGACTACAACTACCACTATGAAATTCCCGAAGCAGACTTGGAGGCTTGGAGTAGGCAGAATGAATTGGGTGAACCAACAATGTGGCTGGAGATTTACCCCATTGACAGTGGCGAAGTACTAATTGGAAGCCTAAGCCATGAGAGTGTGTCGCGGTTCGAAGATGTCTAAAGTATTCTAAAGTATTCTAAAGTTACGGCCAGCACTCCTGCTATGCCCCAAACTCTTTTGGGATGATTGTCGGGAACCTCATTTTTGGGGACCCTTAAAGTACTTTGTGGCCTTCCACTATTTTGGGATGATCTAACTTGATTCCCTCACGAGGCTTTGTGAGGGACGTGGTTCATGCCCCTGTGCGGGGAATTGGCTGATTTTCAAAAGGCCCCTTTTTACATAAACCCTAAAGAAAACCTACCAAGACCCTAGGAAAAACATGGAAACACCCTAAATTAACATAAATTATATTAGGCACCCATGACTTAGGACTTAGGTCACCATAGTGACATAGGAGTTTGTGCACCAAGTCCTATGTCTGTATGTAAATCGATTGAAAAAAATGAAAATCACAGATTTTTTGAAAAAAAAATTGAAGATGGGCACAAGTCCTGAGTCATCAGTTTTTGCAACGGTTGGCTCGAGGACTTCGCCCCAACGACAGGGTAGTGCAACGGGGTAAAACAACGGGGACCACAATAGGGAAGCACAACGGGGAAACAAAACGGGAAACAACAGAGAAAAATGACTTAGGATCATCTTAATATACTTCTGCTAGTTAATTCCTATGTCATCATGGTTTTACGAGTGGTCCATGCCGCACTAAAAAAATGAAACATAGTTTCTAATCTCATACGGACACCTGATGAGTTGGGACTTGTGCAGGGGGGGGTCCGAAGCATGATGATGAGATAGGACTTGTCCACCCCAGGGTATCTTTCACAAGTCCTAAGTCACTGGTACCTATTATAACCCTAAAGAAAGCATGCTGCGGGTAAAGTTACTGTCAATTTGGAGGGCATGAACAGAAGTCACCAGCTGTATACATCGTATGATTCGTTTATAGCTTGAAAAGTTCTGGTCCACAGCACCACATTTTCAAAGCAACCAATCTCACGTCAGCTGAGGTCATAGCCGTGGACACCAATGGGAAAATGGATCCAAACCTCATTGCAGGCAATGCGTCAGCGCCTTGGAGAGTCACCTTTGGATTTAAATGATCCCCCAGTAACCGGTCTTACACGCCTAAAGAGCCAAAGGAAAGCCCGCGGGATCGCCGATGACGTGTGTGGAGGCATGGTGGTATGTGTGGTGGCAGAACGGCCAGCGTAGCGTGCAGCCTGTGCAGGCCGCTCGGTCACAGAGAGTTTCCTGAAAGCGGTGGCAAAGGTGCTTTGAGTTGGTGTTCTTCGTGCCACTCGCCAATCTGGCTGCAATGATAGAGACTCAGAGAGGGAGAGAGAGAGCAAGTACATGTCGAACATCTCTTATCTGAAAGGCAGGCGATGACCTTGTAGTCGAGCGGGCCAAAAAGAGCACAGTATGGGCCGCAGATGGTGGAGCATTTGTGATTCTGCATTTTCAAATTCGGCTTCACACTTGTCAACCCAACTGTTGTCATGCAGAAAGATACCAGAGAAAAACACGAGGATGAAAGTGATGAAAGTCCCCTCCCTCTCTCCTGTCCGTGCATTTTCAGAAGACCAGACGCCATGGGTCCTGTGAGCCAAGGCTAGCACTGTACTTATTATTCAGCATTATCCTGGCCTATGTCCACGAGCTTTGTTTGAGAATGCCTCCAACTCAGTCCATTTCTTTGAGTTTCTTCATGCGGATTTAGCATATTTAGTTTCGCCCCCAAAAGGGGATCCCTCCAAACATCTCCAAACATAGTTGGTGAATAAGCATTGAATAAGCATGAATAGGCCATTATTAGTGGTTGTTGGTAACTAATACGTCCTTAAGAAATCACCCTTCTTGGCGGGTCCGTTCTGAGACCCAGGCCTTGACCCCTGAACGCCGTGCGAAGGCAATGAGCTGCATGGAGAGTTGATCTCTGTTGATATTCATAGCTTTTACCCTCTGGTAATTTAACATAGCTATTGAAAATGGCTATTTATAGTGGATTTTCCCATAAAAAATGGTGATTTTCCATAGTTTTGTTAGTTTACCGGAGGGTAACCATCTTTAAACATCTTTTAACCATCTTGAACATATTGGGATTTGGCACAAGGGCATGTGATTTCCAACTATTTCCAACTGATCTTTTGCGGCTGGATTCTTTGGGTGTGTCTGATGGTTTCTTCTCCGACTCTTGGGCTCGGTCGCATGAGTCAGCAAGGCAGGCATTGCATGGCATCACCATTCCCAAAGCAAGATAGATAGACGTCCTCCTAATTTTGCGCAGTGCTTTCATATGCTTTGCTGCTGATTGGCTCACAGGCACAAGCCTTGGTGACTCAACAAAAAAACATATGCACGTCTCCCAGCATTTGGAATAGGGTACAAATTAACGACCTACTGAAACGCCCATTTTCAGACCAGACTTCGCCGAGCCGACTTCTGTGCCGCAATGACGTCTGCCACTACTGGGAGGATTCTTGAAGAGATCTTGGAATACCTTCCAGTTCTCACGGTGCCATCTAGAGAGCGACTCCTCCTGAAGGACACTGCTGCATGGATTGCGTATTGCAAATTTCCAAAGCACGGGCAAAAGGGGCCCAGAAATGCGACCAGAAGCCGAGAAGCCGAGAAGCCGAGAAGCCGAGAAGCCGCGAAGTACGACACAAGCCGAGAAGCCGAGAAGCCGAGGAGCCGAGAAGCCGAGAAGCCGAGAAGCCCGGCACAAGCCGAGAAGCCAAGAAGCCGAGAAGCCGAGAAGCCACCGGACAAGCCGAGAAGCCGAGAAGCCGCGAAGCCGCGAAGCCGAGGAGCCGCCGGGCAAGCCGAGAAGCCGAGAAGCCGAGAAGCCGCGAAGCCGAGAAGCCGCCGGGCAAGCCGAGAAGCCGAGAAGCCGAGAAGCCGAGAAGCCACCGGACAAGCCGAGAAGCCGAGAAGCCACCGGACAAGCTGAGACAGTAGCCCTGGAACCCCCTCTGAACACTATGTTGCATCTTCACCATCACAAGACATCAACTCCCCAACCCCCTCTGAACAACACGTTGCACCTTGAGACATCAGCCCCCCCACCCCCTTTGAATATATGTTGCATCTTCGAAGATCAAGCCAGCGACCCCCTCTGAACACTACCTCGCCCCGTTAAACTTCTACATCCATTGAAGATCTTCAATGAGGGTTTAGTTCTCCCAGCCCCTTCAAACTTCTACATTCATCGAAGATCTTCAATGAGGGTTTAATTCTCCCAGCCCCGTTAAACTTCTACATTCATTGACGATCTTCAATGAGGGTTTAATTCTCCCAGCCCCGTTAAACTTCTACATTCATCGAAGATCTTCAATGAGGGTTTAATTCTCCCAGCCCCGTTAAACTTCTACATTCATGGAAGATCTTCAATGAGGGTTTAATTCTCCCAGCCCCTTCAAACTTCTACATTCATCGAAGATCTTCAATGAGGGTTTAACTCTCCCAGCCCCGTTAAACTTCTACATTCATTGAAGATCTTCAATGAGGGTTTAATTCTCCCCTGCCCCGTTAAACTTCTACACCCATTGACGATCTTCAATGAGGTTTTAATTCTCCCCAGCCACGTTAGACTTTACATTCATTGACGATCTTCAATGAGGGTTTAATTCTCCCCAGCCCCGTTGAACTTCTACATTCACTGACGATCTTGAACGAGGGTTTAATTCTCCCAGCCCAGTTTAACTTCTACATTCATGGACGATCTTCAATGAGGGTTTAATTCTCCCCAGCCCCGTTAAACTTCTACATTCATGGACGATCTTCAATGAGGGTTTAATTCTCCCCACCCCTGTTAAACTTCTACATTCATGGACGATCTTCAATAAGGGTTTAATTCTCCCCAGCCCCGTTAAACTTCTACATTCATGGACGATCTTAAATGAGGGTTTAATCCTCCCAGCCCCGTTAAACTTCTACATTCATGGTCGATCTTAAATGAGGGTTTAATTCTTCCCAGCCCCGTTTAACTTCCACATTCATTGACGATCTTCAATGAGGGTTTAATTCTCCCAGCCCCGTTAAACTTCTACATTCATCGAAGATCTTCAATGAGGGTTTAATTCTCCCAGCCCCGTTAAACTTCTACATTCATCGAAGATCTTCAATGAGGGTTTAATTCTCCCAGCCCCGTTAAACTTTTACATTCATGGACGATCTTCAATGATGTTTTAATTCTCCCCAGCCCCGTTAAACTTCTACTTTCTTTGACGATCTTAAATAAGGGTTTAATTCTCCCCAGCCCCGTTAGACTTCTACATTCATTGACGATCTTCAATGAGGGTTTAATTCTCCCCAGCCCCGTTTAACTTCTACATTCATGGACGATCTTCAATGAGGGTTTAATTCTCCCCAGCCCCGTTAAACTTCTACATTCATTGACGATCTTCAATGAGGGTTTAATTCTCCCCAGCCCCGTTAAACTTCTACATTCATTGACGATCTTCAATGAGGGTTTAATTCTCCCAGCCCCGTTAAACTTCTACATTCATTGACGATCTTCAATGAGAGTTTAATTCTCCCCACCCCCGTTAAACTTCTACATTCAATTCATGGACGATCTTCAATGAGGTTTTAATTCTCCCCAGCCCCGTTAGACTTCTACATTCATTGACGATCTTCAATGAGGGTTTAATTCTCCCCACCCCCGTTAAACTTCTACATTCATGGACGATCTTCAATGAGGGTTTAATTCTCCCCACCCCTGTTAAACTTCTACATTCATTGACGATCTTCAATGAGGGTTTAATTCTCCCCACCCCTGTTAAACTTCTACATTCATGGACGATCTTCAATGAGGGTTTAATTCTCCCCAGCCCCGTTAAACTTCTACATTCATGGACGATCTTCAATGAGGGTTTAATTCTCCACACCCCTGTTAAACTTCTACATTCATGGACGATCTTCAATAAGGGTTTAATTCTCCCCAGCCCCGTTAAACTTCTACATTCATGGACGATCTTAAATGAGGGTTTAATCCTCCCAGCCCCCTTAAACTTCTACATTCATGGTCGATCTTAAATGAGGGTTTAATTCTTCCCAGCCCCGTTAAACTTCCACATTCATTGACGATCTTCAATGAGGGTTTAATTCTCCCAGCCCCGTTAAACTTCTACATTCATCGAAGATCTTCAATGAGGGTTTAATTCTCCCAGCCCCGTTAAACTTCTACATTCATCGAAGATCTTCAATGAGGGTTTAATTCTCCCAGCCCCCCGTTAAACTTCTACATTCATGGACGATCTTCAATAAGGGTTGAATTCTTTCAGCCCCGTTATATATAAACTTCTACATTCATTGACGATCTTCAATGGGGGTTTTCGTGTCGCGCCGCGACGCAACGCCGTGTGCACTCTTGCAGAAGGAAGCGTCGCAGCGCCAACAGCGTCGCAGCGTCGCTCCCGCGTCGCAGCGTCGCAGCGTCGCAGCGCCAACAGCGTCGCAGCGTCGCTCCCGCGTCGCAGCGTCGCAGCGTCGCAGCGCCAACAGCGTCGCAGCGTCGCTCCCGCGACGCAGCGTCGCAGCGTCGCAGCGCCGCAGCGCCAACAGCGTCGCAGCGTCGCTCCCGCGTCGCAGCGTCGCAGCGTCGCAGCGCCAACAGCGTCGCAGCGTCGCTCCCCGCGACGCAGCGTCGCAGCGTCGCAGCGCCAACAGCGTCGCAGCGTCACTGGCCCAACGGCAGCGTCGCAGGGTCGCAGCGTCGCAGCGTCGCAGCGCCACCCGCCCCCCGGAGCGTCGCAGCGTCGCAGCGTCGCAGCGCCACCCGCCCCCGGGAGCGTCACAGCGCAACGTCGGAAACCCACGCTTCGGCCCCCTTTGCCCCTGCACTGCAAATTTCACCTATGAGTTCAATGAGGTTTGTCTAGGGCACTGAAAATCCGATTGAGGACTTGCAGCATGTACGTATCCAAAGTGCCAAGACGTTTGGCGGCTGGCGAAAGTGCATGGCTCAGCAGAAGCCAAAAAAGTCGACATGACCCCAGCCACAGAAACACATCGTTGGTGATTGGAACATATTGTACATATTATTGACGTATTGCATATTGTTCATTTTGCATCCTACTAACTGGGATGATGATCCGCAATGACCCTTTTTTTGACACATGTTGAAACCACTCACAGAAGATGGCGTCCAATCTTGCCTGAGGCTGGCTCACGAAGAGCAGTTTGCATTGGACCAGTGCCCCGCTGTCGACGCATGACCACATGACTCACGGTTTGACTTGCGGCTAGATTCATGAAACCACCAGCCTTTTCAACAACCTCACCAGGACGTCACATAAAAGCTTTAGATGCTGGTTTACAGCAAGGGACTAGCCCAACTCACTTTTTTCATGTATAATTTTACTGCTACTATAGCTTAGCCAGATTATGGCGTGAGGATTTCTAAAGCAGTCCCACTTCCCTTCAGGTACCTCATGGAAGCTCCGGATAAAAAGTCATGGACGGTTCCCAACAGCCCAAACCGCCTTGGCTTCAATGATACTGGGGTCTTCTTGCACCAGGACGCATATCACATGAGGCTACCAAGCTACGACTTTGGCTGATGCTGGTGGATGTTGGATTCCCTGTAGATTTGTCTGTTTAGAAATGCGGCAGGACCATAAAAAGCGATACTTTGGAATGGTGGAAGTCGCAGCAAAGCACTTGGTGCCAAACGTCCGCATCTTGGACCGCTGTTTTGTAACCACCGCAGGGTGAGTCACTGTCCACTTTGACCATCATTCGTCCATGGTCGTTTATGTCAGTTGGGGGCCAGGTTGAAACGAAGGAGGCGATCCCCCTGTACTTTGGGAGATCAGATCCCATGATGGAGAAGTTGAGTGAGAAGGTTGCCACCATCAGCGATGAGATGAGGTCCAAGGTGCGGCTTGTGTGAATCTGGTGCATCTTTAGCTGTTTTCTTCATGATGTCAAGCTGGGTTTTGGGCGGCTTGGGGATCTTGAGGTCATTTTAGGGAGCCCCTGAAAGGTGATATTGGCGACTTTCCGAGCAGCCGACACCAATAAGAACGGCACTTTGAGCATCCTGGCCACGTGTGGCACGTGTGGCACGTGTGGCCACTGCTGATCCCTTGTTGGTGCAAGCTGCTTGCGGCTGCTGAGTATGATATGATGAAAGGGCAGCTGTGGACGTAGGCATGATGTAGCTCTCAAGATTCACCGATGAAACATGGGAAGCCCAGTAACATCCATAAAGGGTGTTAAATGGTATTGAAATCAATTAAATAGTGATTTATGCAAGGTTTTTGTCCTCTCCGCTCCCACTTGAGGCAAGCACGAGATTGGCTCCTTGATCCGGCGCCTTGCAGTAGACTCAGCATGACTTGCCAACTTTGCCTGGTCATAGTTCTCAAACTTGATGCCTCCTTTCTCGTCTTTTAGATGGTGTCAAGTTGCGGTATGACATGCGTTTAAATATTTGGCGGGATTATCGGTTCATCTCAATTCGAATACGCCAAGGTGGCTACTGCGTCCACGTTGGAAGTTGAAGAAATGGTTAAGGAGGCGGCTTGCTCATGGACTTATAAGAACATGGAGACAGGGACGTGATTCGCCACCTGCCACTGAGTGATGGCTGGTACGACCATAGTGGAACCAAAGCTGTGGTTTTGGAAAGGAAATATCCAATGAGACCAGCATTCACTTCTCTGTTGCTTGTTGCGTTGCTTGTTGCTTGTAAGAGTCGGGGCTTGCCGGGGGCAGAAGTTTCAGAACGTGGAGGCTATAGGCCGTCGGAACATTTGCCAGAAAACACGTGCGTTGAGACATTTTCTCTCAACAAGTCTTGTATTCTTTTTCTTCACGTTTGTTTCTCTTGGTAAATGGGGGTTTCTATAAATGGGGTTGCACCAAAATGGATAGTTTATTTATAATGGAAAGTCCTATTGAAATGGATGATTTGGGGTTACCACTATTTTAGGAAACCTCCAAAACTCTTTCTCTCCTCGCTCCTTTGTCTTGTTACCCCTTTCTGATGCCGAGTGTTGGGAGGCGGACGCAAATCGTGATGGGACCATAGACTATGACGAATTCACCGTCAGCGACCCCAGGATGTTGTGTAGTGTAGTTCTTTTTTTTAATGATAATTTGCCAATATCTTTCCAAATCTCGTATGTCAATTCCGTGGTTTGTACATCTCTTGCTGTTGCTGTGACCTTCCAAGTATCGATTCTGTCCTGCTCTCCAAGACATGGATGATGATCACCCAGAGGGGTGTAATGCACAAGAGAGTCAAGGAAGCGTTGCGTGCCCTTTGGGTTGCTGTTATTTGCCCATGAAGTTCTGTGACCCGGGCTTGGGTGGATGGCCCACTTGTATCCACTTGTCAGGTACACCCGCCGATATCATCAGGCCCTTTGCTGGATTGTTGCATCCTTCTCAACACAGGGTAATCCTAACGATATGCACAGAGAGAGCTGCTGGAATCCCGATGCTTTTACCAGAATCGTTTCTTTTTTGTCAGGGCTTCATTCCGAGCCTGGGACCATGATGGTAATGGCTTGATCTCAAAGGCCAGGCGTGTTTTCAGAATTGCACCAGTGGAAAGCAGCCGGACCAAGCCGCAAGGAAGAAGTGCGAAGGGTCCTTCGAGACGCATGTGGCTTGAAGGCCAAGGTGCCCCTGACTTCATGGTGCCGATTCACCAACATGTGCCAACTATTGCAGCATTGCAGCATTGCAGCATTGCAGCATGACTCACTTGATATCTGCCAGGACGTAGACGTTCTGGCACAGGTGATGGACACTGATGACAACGGCTATATTGACTATGATGAGTTTTGTTCATTCTTGTACCCACAACACTGGAATGCGGGTGCGGTTCAGTAATCTGACCCGGGCACAGCGAAGCTGTGGCTGCTGGCAAATGCTGTCGGTGTGTACTTGTCATCACCCGCAGGACTTTTCACCAGGGAAGGGTTGCTTGAGTTTTCATTTGTGCCGCTGCAAAGCAGCCGTTAATTGCCAGGTACCCTCCGCAGTTGTGACAAAAGTGCGGGCAAGTAAACAAGTAATCAAAGTGAGGTGAGCCAATTGCATGGAGGCAGTATACAAGTAGTCAAGCTGTACCAAGGAGGTTGGCGAGGTGTAGGATAATGATCCTGGGCCATGCACACCGTAGAAATATTCAGCGTATGTTGTGGCTAGAATGCTTCCATTTTGCGACTGTCAGGTGAGGCTTATTTGCGCCTACGGGCACGTCCACAGCCAGCGCTGTGATGTGTCCGCTTCTTGCTCGCTTCCTGTGCATTTCCAGTATGTCCATCTGTGTCCAGCTGCCAGCTGCCAGGAAAATCAATGGCCAGTGTATGGATGTCCTGTCCGGTGGTGGAGGAGGTTGTTGTGGCCCCATGGTCCGGAGCGCAGTGAGTGCTTTGATCTTACCAGTGCAACAGCTAGTGTTGAACCATCCGAATCTGCTGCAAGGAAAAAGTGCCAAATTGAACACTGATATTGGGGTGGTACATCCCATTATAATCCCCCATGAAATCTCCCATGAAATCCCCCAGGGGCCCATGATATCCCATTAGAAGCTGCTAGAGCCAGGTCAACCTGGCGGGCTTCACTGCTGTTCATTTAGACGACATGGGCGGAGCTCACGTGGACGTGGAAAGTCCAGAGGCGGGCGGTTTTTCGACCAGGAGGGCATGGGAAAATGCGAAGGTGTCCGAAAATTGAATATGGTGGGATGTACTGGGAAATAGTGGAACAGAGTGCGAATGATTATAGATCTAATAATGATCTAATGGAATGTAAACAAAACAATAAATATATACTGTAATAACAATACTTTATGTATTTTACTCATTGGTAATATGATATGTGGGGTTCTCTTCGGTCATGGGGGACCCGAAAATTATTGAAGTATTTAATAATTCTTATTGGGGAACGGGTAGTTGATGGCATTGGGAAACATGAATTCTCCGAAGCGCACACATGCCAACCTTGATTGTTGGTTAATGTCAACCCGGATGAATAAGCTGTATTGATTGATGATACAAGGGTTATCCTTAACAAATACTGTAATAATAGATGTTAAGAAACATGTTAACGTGTTATATATAATATAATATATAATATATAATATACAATATATAATATATAATATATAATATATATTATATTATATATAATATATAATATATAATATATATTAAGTATGCAGCATACTTACACACACAGATATACATATATATATATGTCGATGCCAGCTGTCGCATGCATGTGTGTTTTCCTGTTGCAGGCATGTGCAACATAGCATTTCACCATCCCCCACTGTTTTGGCTCAAGGGCGCCCTTTGAGTGGCACGAGGCTACATGGCGGATCAACCGCATTGAGACCGAGAAGGAAAACAACTGCTGCCCATTCGCAACTTCGTGCGTGTGCTTGGGAGATCTGGTTTGGGTACGGGTTCCTCCTGATAATCCCCTACTACCAGATCGATATTGGTAGCGGAGCCCAATCTGGGCTGCCGCAGGTACTTCGTCCTGAACTTGTTCATCACCCTTGCCTTGGACTTCGGTGGCAACGATGGTGGGTGGACAAGCATCAGACGGCGCCAACAACCCTGGAGGAGCTGCAGTACCAGGTGGATCTGCTGGTGCTAATGGCCCTCAACATGGTGGAGCAATAGCAAATGGAGCTCAAGGTCAGAACGAGTTCAGCCGTGGTTTGGACTCAGGTTTGGCCAAAGCAGCACCATCTGCTGCTGGACTGACACAGTCCACATACAGGTCCTTCAGAAGGAGACTTGACCTGTTCAGCCGACAATGTAGAAGACGAGGTCAAGGAGTAGCTCTTGAAGGAGCTTATCTAGTTCTTTCACAACTACAAGACGTAGCATGGGAAGCCACAGAGGGATTGGACTACGATGACATGGAGCTGAGCGATGATCCCTTCAAACCCTTGCTGGTCATCTTGGACAGACTTTTTCAACATGAAGAAGAAGTAGAACTCCCTGAACGGTGCCAAGAGTTCTTTGAGAAGTTTGCCCGAGAACGAGGTGAAGAACTACAAGCCTACTTGGTGAGGCATCAGTCGATGCTTCGAAAGCTGAAAGAGCTCCAGGTGGACATACCACCCCTTCTTGCTGGTTGGCATCTTTTGCAAAGGTCTGGAGTGCCGCGGTGGACCCATGTCCAGGTCAAAGCGATGTGCAACGGAGACATGTCAGTTGACCGAGTCTCCAAAGCTTTGATCCGAATGTTTGGCGGTGACAGCAAGCCGAACGCCAAGGACTCCATCCTCAAAGGTGAGATTCACTATATGGATGCCGAGTATGATGACCTTGAGGACTATGGCTTTGACGATGTCTACTACCAGGATGATGATGCCTACACCTATGGCTATGACCTTGACTATGACGACACCATTGATGAGGTGGAATACACAGGTGAAGCTGACGAGGACATCCCGCAGGAGCTTGATGAAGCCTCACTTGCAGTGGAGGATGCATTCATCAACTACTTGGACTCTAGAAAGAAAATGCGGGAACTTGCTCTCAGCCGAGGTTTTTACCCTGTGGTTGCCATCGGCATGGATGACAATGGTGGTGCGTTCAAGGGGCGTGGAAAAGCCTCTGGTGGAAAGGGCAAGTCAAAAGGAAAAGGCCGTGGAAAGAGCAGCGGAGGAAAAGGCAAATCTGCTGGAAAAGGACACCCTTTGCCTGGTGCACGACGATACGTTTTTGGACGTCGGCGTGCAGGTGAATCTACATCAACTGCTTCGACAACGGCATCTGCAAAGTCCACAACCAGTGGAAGCACGTCTCAGCATGGCCCAAGATTCAAGCGCTACAGGCTTCCAGCCAATGGCATTAAGGAAGTCCCTGATGAAGTCACCGTGGTGGAGGACACCTTCGTCAGCGAGGTGAATCAGATCCCTGTTGACTACACCACCCATGAGAGCATCAACTTTGTCAGCCAAGCTGTTGGTTGGGCTATCATGGACAGTGGAGCTACTCGCACAGTCTGTGGTGAAGCCAGCTGGAACAAGATCTTGGACTACCTCAGCTTGAGGAACATGGAGCCTGACATCGACAAGGAGACAAAGGATTTCAGGTTTGGAGATGGTGCCATGGTGAGATCGCTTTTCAGAGCGATGATCCCTGTCTGCGTTGGCAAGACCTGGCGACAACTCATTGTGCACGTCCTTCCAGGACACACCCCTTTGCTCTTGGCACGCCCAGATCTTGAATCTTGGCAGACGGTGGTGGACTATGGAAGAAAAACTGTGATGATCAGTGATGTGCAGGTGAAGCCAGCGTTCACAACCAACGGGCACTACATGATCAACATCTTTGACGACCTTGAGGACGTCTTGAGCTTTGCAGAGCTGGACAACATCGACGTTTCTGTGGAGACCTTCGTGGATTCAATGATCACCGATGAGGTCTCTGACTTTGAGGCCGACCTTGACGTTGAGGTGTCAGAAAAAGAAGCGGAGGAGTTTGTCTTCGCTGCAAGCATGAAAAGCCAACAACACGAGCGCAAGCTCAAGTTTTGGGAAGTCTATGTGGATGAAGGGAACCTGAGCAAGTACCTGCAACGAGCATATCATGATGTGGAGGTCCGGCAGTTTTCTCTGCCAACTTGGAACTTTGAGATGAAAGAGCAACAAGCCGCTTTTCGACGTCTTGTTGAGCAAGAAGAACCTCATCACATCATGGTGACTCCTGAATGTCGTCTCTGGTCACCAATGCAGAATTTGAACTACAGAACACCAGAGAGACGGGAATTGCTCAGAGATCTGAGGGTCTTGGAAGAAGAGACCCACTTGACCTTTTACAAGGACATCCACATCGACGGCAAGCGCCTGGTCTATGACACAACTTTTGAGAACCCTGCAGACGCAGCTTCATTCGAAACCCCAACTTTGGACTCCATGAAGGGCTACTTTGAAACAGTCCTGGATCGCTGCCGCACAAAGCTGAAGGCAAGTCCTGAGGACGAGATGTATGTGAGAAAGCCCACAAGGTTTCGATCAAGCTCAAGAAAGGTCTGCGAGGCTGTGAACTTGCGTTGTGAATGCCCCCGAGGAGCTCATGTCCAAATGATGGGACGCGGCTCTGTCCTCAAGAAGATGCAGAACTACGAGCCTGAACTTTGCCAACGTCTTGGCAATGCCATTTACTCTGCAATGGAGATGGCATGGAAGAAACGAGGACAAGCTGAGCTGATGACCATGGAGGTCGTCGAGAAATCGACTGAAGAGATGCAGTACCTGGAACAGAACAAAGAGCTCATCAAGATCGGTGGCCATGAGATCCTGAAGTCGGTGGCCAATCTCCATCGACAACTTGGACATCCAAATGGAGCCAAGCTGGTTCTGGCGGTGAAGGCACGACACCTTCCCAATGAATTTGTCCAGGTGGCCCGGAGGTACAAGTGTCCGACCTGTTTGGCCAGGGCACAACCCAAGAATGTGCGTGTGGCGACTTTGCACAAATCCCCACACTTCAACCACTCCGTGGCCATCGACACCTTCTACGTGGAATGGGATGGCAAACAGCGTGCGGTCTTCACCATCATGGATGAGTTCAGTCGCTATGAAGTTGACATGGAGATCAAAGAAGAGACGGCCGACATGGAGATAGCTCTCTTCGAGTCAACTTGGAGCCGATCTTTTGGGTTCCCAAAGGTTTTGCGACTGGATGCCTCTGGTCCTCATCAAGGGCAACAATTTGCCGATTGGGCATCTGCCCATGGAATGTACATGGACCTGATCCCACGAGGTGCTCATCACAGGCTTGGAATCCTTGAACGGAATCATGCAGTCCGACGACGCATGCTGGAGATCTTCCACAAAGACATGCCCGAGCTGGACTTTGAACAAGCCATCTTGGTGACCTGCCATCAGAGAAACCGTTTGTCTTCGGTGAAAGGTGCCACGCCTGCCACTTTGGCATTTGGCTACGTTCCCTCCGAAGGAGGCAATGCTGATGACCCTGGACCCGAACAATTTGGTGACTCTGCTGACTTGGCGCAGGTCATGGAAGTCAAACAGAAGGCTGCACAGGCCTTCCACTCTGCCAACCTGGCGGTTCGATCAGCCGCTTTGGCTCGATCACGTGTGGATGAGGACGAGCTCATGGTGGGAGACTATGTCTACTACTGGAAGCCACAAACCCACAAGCTCGACCCTTTCAGGTGGCGTGGACCCGCGATGGTGGTGTCCGTGGAAGCCTCAATTGACCGAAAGACCATGATCTACTGGATCGTCCATGGAAGCTCACTGGTGCGAGCAACACGACAGCAGCTACGCTTTGAGACTGTCCCTGAGCGCTACGAGCGTCAGAGCAAGCCTGCTTACCTTGAGAGCGTGCAGAAACCTTTGCAACAACGACTTTTGGAAGCTCTCAAGCCAGTGCGTGGTCCAGTGAGGGCCATTGACATTGCTGGCAAGGCTCAGTCTCCTGACGATTTTCCTCAGCTTGGGGGGACTGGAGCAGCCGCTGTCGCACCTGGTGATGCCCCTCCACATGAACCACATGAGCCTCCTGACCCACCGAAAACTGATGACAAATCAAAATCGAAAACTGCAACTGCAGAACTTGACACTCCCGGCAAACCTGCCGACAAGTCCAAAGCTCGGCCGAAGGCCAAGCTGCCTGAACCCCGAATCGACTTTTGGGTCGACTACCCCGACAGTGAGAAAACCGAATCTGAATCCAAGACCACTGACAAGACTCTCTTGGATGAGATGGTGGCCAACAAGGACAAGAACCTGGATGACCACACTCAAGGCATGACCGACATCCAGAAGGAGATGAAACGGAAGCTGGAGGAAGAACATCCGGGCATCATGGACTCCTCGCATGGGGTGATCGACAGGCAAGATGATGAACCACCTGTGAACCCTGATGATGTGAGCGTTCGAGCCCGTGACAGACGTTTCTATGAACAAGCAGTACGTGCTGCCAGTTTCCTCTCCCACGAGAACAATCGACGACTGGATGGACTGCCTCCTTCCGGACGACAACTGCCTGCGAATGCTGCCGCACAAGCATCACGACCTGCTGCAAATCTGGTGCCTCCCCGAGCTGACGATGGTCAACCGAAAACCAAGCAACCTGGAACTGAGGAAGTGCGCATGGTGGAGGTCCCTGAGGATGAGGTCATGATGGCGGTCGTGGAGAGTCGGTTGTCTGCCGATGAGAAAAGAGCCTTCACAGAGGCAAAGCGCAAGGCCCTGGTCCCATGGCACGAGAACGATGCTTGGAGGCCCTTCAAGAGGACAGCCTGCCCTCCTGGAACCATCGTGCCGATGAGGTTTCTCTTGCGCTACAAAGAGAACAAGCCACATGCTCGAGTCATTCTCCAAGGCTTCAAGCACAAGGATGTCATCGAAAGCAAGCTTGACACCGAGTCACCCACAGTGTCGAGACTTGGCAAGTACCTGATGGTGACGCTGTCTTGCGTCAAGAGATGGAAGCTTGCCACCATGGATGTGAAGTCTGCATTTTTGCAGTCGGACTACATCACCGAGGAGGTGGAGATCTATGGTGAGCCCTCAGCTGACATGAGACGCTTGTTGGCTGAGATGATGGGACTTCAAGAACATCAGGTGATGCAGATGACGAAGCCTGCCTTTGGAGATGTCAGAGCACCCAGACAGTGGAACGAAACGGCCGATCGTGCGTTGATCCACGAGGTCAAGCTGTGGAAGCACGAGCTCGATGGCTGCATCTACATGTCAGTCAGACTGGCAGTGGATGGTGACCCTCCTTTTGAGGTGTTCGAGCACGAGGGCAACAACTATGTGGTGGACGGTGTCTTCTGCATCCATGTGGATGACATCTTGACTGCAGGAGAGGGCGTGCGCTGCAAAGAAGACGCACGGGAGCCCCATGGTGAGCCGACTTGCTATGCAGAGAGACTGTATGTCCTCTTGCATCGCTTCAAGTTTGGCAGCGTCGACTATGGCGACAAGCAAATGTTTTGTGGATGTCAAATGACACAAGCCCTGGACTCTGCCACTGTCACCTTTGACCTGCAGAAGTACATCCACCAGCTCAAGCCCCTCAACATCGAGAAGGCCAGAAAAGCACAACCCAACGACAAGGCCACTCCGAAAGAGCAGAGCCAGTTGAGAGGTTTGCTAGGTGGGCTAGCCTGGCCTGCCAACCAAACGCAACCACACCTGGCAGCGTCTGTGTCCCTGGCTCAGGCCGCTTCTGCTTGCGCAACTGTTTCTGAGTTGCTGGAAGCAAACAAAACGTTGAGGTATGCCAAAGAAAGCTCAGACGTGCACTTGGTTCTCAGAGGTCACGGACGTTTGGAAGAGATCCGGTTTGGGATCTACAGTGACGCGTCCTGGTGCACAAGACCAGACGGGAGTTCCCAAGGTGGCTGGATCACCTTTATCGCGACTGAGGCGGAGATCGGTGGCGACAAGCCTTTTCCCCTCACCGTGATTGACTGGTCTTCACGAAAGCTGACCCGAGTGTGCCGAAGCTCGCTCAGTGCAGAAGCTCAAACTTTGGCAGCTGCAATCGACAGCCTGGAGTGGACCAAAACGGTGTTTGCCCTGATGATCTGGCCAGCTCTTCGACCAGACAATGAAGAGATGATGCGCTGGTTGGGCGACTCACCTTGCATCACTGATGCCAGAGCTCTCTTTGATGCCAGCAACAGCAAGGCCCCTGGGATGAAACTTGCTGAGAAAAGAACTGCAATCGAAATCAAGATGGCATGCGAACGCATGGCTGCAGCTGGAGGAGTGCTCAAGTGGTGCAACAGCCATCAGCAGTTGGCTGATGGGGTCACAAAGGTGTCAGCACGGCAAAAGCTTGCAATGGAGCTTCGACGCCGCATGCACTGTCTGAGATATGATCCTGAGGGAACAGCTTCAAAGAAGGTCAAGCAGATCGTTCGCCAGGACGAGCAAGATTCACTTGATCAAGCTGCTCAGGAGTTCCAAAAACAACAAATGGTGAAGGATGGCATCTACAAGATCGAAGAGATGGAGTCAGAAGAAAAGATGGAGTGCAACATCTGCCTCCTGGACGGCTGTGGTTTGCCAGCTGAAGATGGCAAGCGTTTCTGTTCGAAGCGCCACTACCACGCCGCAAAGCACAAGCAGAGCAAAACAAGCTCAGCCAAGAGCACCGGAGTGATTTGGTGCATGACTCTTGCGAATGAGATCGTACCCGTGGCTGCTCTTGAGTTTGGGTTTGTGATCTTCCTCAGCTTTGACAAGATCGTCGGGTTCTTCTTTTTCCTGGCCTTTGCCTTGGTGTTTGCGTATACCCTGGGCAAGCGTGCTGGACGCCGAGAAGTCCATGGTCTCATGGCTACGACTGAGCCAGTGGAGACAGCTGAGGGAGAAACACAGGCACCGCCGACACCGCGAACCAGAGCGGTGACTGACTGCCAACGCTTCACGGCAGCTGAGATCTCTTTCCTGCTGGGCGAAGGCTACGAGGTTTGGTCCGATGACAAGGTGGAGCAGATCCGGCGTGACTTCATCGCTGAGTTGCCTCCGTCCATCGAGGACTACCTGCCCCAGTCCGAGATCGACAAGCTGATGGCCGGTGAAGAGACCGCAGCTCAGGTACCAACAGCACCTGAGGAATGGAATGGCATCAGCCGCCAGCAGAGAGAGGAATTGATCCAAATTTTGGACGACAGTCTTCTCCTGGGCGTTCCCTGTGGTGCCATGTGCCCAGAGCTGCGAGATGAAGCACGAGCCCTGCGAGCTCAACTGACGACCGTACGGGTCGTGGAAGGTGAACTACAACCTCTGAGGGTGGTAATGAGTTCAGTGCCAGATTTGCCTGTTGGAACAATTTTGAGTTCCAGCTCTGGCCGTAGCAACGGATAGCTGAGCAGGTACAGACGACATTTTTGGGCCTCTATTCACTCCAATTTTTCTCTTTTGGGCCTGTGTCGATGCCAGCTGTCGCATGCATGTGTGTTTTCCTGTTGCAGGCATGTGCAACATAGCATTTCACCATCCCCCACTGTTTTGGCTCAAGGGCGCCCTTTGAGTGGCACGAGGCTACATGGCGGATCAACCGCATTGAGACCGAGAAGGAAAACAACTGCTGCCCATTCGCAACTTCGTGCGTGTGCTTGGGAGATCTGGTTTGGGTACGGGTTCCTCCTGATAATCCCCTACTACCAGATCGATAAAAAATATATATATATATATGTATGTATTTGGATATATGTGTGATGTGTGTAACATATTTATTACATTTTATTACAAACGTGCGCCCCCCTATGAGTTAAATTCGTAGACTCGGGGTTGATTCATCCTGGTTTGAGAAATTTGTCAGCGAGACTTGACAGGTGCGCATGGCAAAGGACACATGCAAACGGTGAGCCGTGCGCCATGTCAGCTTCTCGATCTTCTCGAGGATTTGACCATGATGAATCTGATGATCGTTTACCTGCGGAAACAGTATATAATTATATATAATTGCACTTCAGACAGGTAAGGTTATTCCACGATATTCCACCCTTGTATTCACCTCTCCCCTTATGAAGTGTTGGGAGCAACCCTGACAGGTGGTCATATAAGTAGGTGCATTTTTTTCTGACTGGCAAAACGGAAAATGCCCATTTTGTAGGCAATTCATCCATGTGTTGAACCGGAAAACCAGAGATTTCCGCAGCAGCTGGAAGTTCCATGTTGTTTCACCTGACACTCTTTCTGAGCCGTTCCACCAACGTTCACCAGGGTGCCTGAGGCATCCTCAGTGAATGCCATCGAATTGTGTGAATTGTGATCTTTAGCAATGGATGCCGCACAGGCGGTCTCAACCTGCGTTTTCTTGCAGTGATCTACTGGCGCCCCTGATTGAAGTTTCAAAGCCAAACATCAGAGATTGCAATGGCGCACGGAGATATGTGAGCCATGGCACAATGAAGTTGGACGTATCATGCATCACCTAGCTGAGTATGCAGAAGGACTCTGCAGTGTTTTTGATTGCCCACTTGCCTGGAATCGCTTTACATTGGTATGTCCGCTGTCGCTTGCTGCTCATTCTTTGGACCATATTCCATCAGACGCTATATTATATTATGTAGAGATATCAATATATATATATATATATACACACTGTATATATACATATTTCATTATACAAGTTAAAAAATATAGATACTATATTATACCTGGCATATCTTGGGATACCATTATATCATCCACAGCCCAGCGCCGAGATTCTTAGCGCCTTTGGAGCGCCATGGGCTGCGGGGCGTCCTCAGAACCTCCGCGCACAGTTCCTGTGACACCGGCTCCGGTTCCAGCTCCAAAAGTTGAAAGCAGCTGGGCAGCTTTTGGCAGGTGAGGTGCGCAAGATAACCAGCAATTCAGTCACAACGATGAGGATGAGGCTGGTAATTTGGCTGCTTATGCTATAGATGGCCCAGCATTCGCCTATTCAAAGATGGTGATTTTCCATAGCAAGCCGTAACAAATTGTCAGAGAGAAAGCCTCAAAACCAAAAACCCACGGCTCCAGACGCAAAATTTTCCCCGTTGCACCGGGCACCGAGAAAAAGAAGAAGAAGCCAATGTTCCCGTGGATGGATATACAGAGAAGTGGCCGGACCTTTGTGACCCCGACAAGGAGTCATGCAACACGAAGCTTCACATGTTTCGATCTTGGCGTGTAACCTGCAATGTGGAAGTTCCATTGAATGTTGGACCTCTTTCTTGGAAACCTGTGATTTGCCCTTCAGTGCTACTTGGTGATTCCTATCAACATTTGGCAGTCTTCAAGCCGGCGAGGAGTTCAACCTCTTGGACTACGTGTTCTGCTTGCCAGAGAAGAACCTGTCTTACTCGCAAGTCCTTGATATATGGGGAATTGCTTAAGTAATTTTAGGTTTAACATGTGCAGTTGTGCCTTGTCGAATGCAATCACATAAATGCAGCTCCATCTTGGTTGTTGACATGTTCCGACATTGAAATGGTTGTGCCATCGCCATTGTCAGAGCGTCTGCAGTAACTACTATATGAATCTATATGATTCATGATGCTACGTGATTAATTACTAATGAATCTACATGATACTATAGACATCTATAGCATGGTTACTAATGATTACTATGCAAATCTAAGTATGCAATGATTGGTGCTCATCCAATAATCTTAGGACCGGATGCATTGGCACGATGCTGATGGAGCCAGAGAAGAAATGGTTGACGCAAGAGGACCGAGATGCAGTCAGCTCAGACCTGACACCGCGTGCGAATACGCCCACGCGGTGCGGCAGGACATTCGCACTTGGAAGTACGTAATCAAGAAAGATTGGAAGGAGTCGAAGACTGTCTTCATGACGGCGCCTAGACAAGGACCCCGAGATTGGAGAAGATGTTTTGCTAATTAGATTAATGAGAACTAGGAGAAGCCGGGAACCCTTGCCTTGTCCCATGGCAAGGTTGGTTTTGCATTTGGCGCAGCGCTGGTCGTTTAGATTAAAATTAAGATGATGTGTTTATTTGGACCTTTTTAGTAAGTTATCTTTGCCATTCTCTAGCTGCAGTAGCTACACACTGCGAAACTTTTCCAAACATTCGGGAGAGGTTGCCAGCCAGCATATGCCGGGCATCTCTACCGCAAATCACCATGCTGATCATCACCAGTATAGTTTCAGGTCATCATCATCTAGCGCCACTGTCCTCATCAATGCCACATGATGCCATGGTCAGGAGCTCGGGATCAGAAGTGCACGTTCAACCCAGTGACTCGGAACGGGAAGCTGGCGTGGACCTCCAATCGCTTCTTTTCCGACTTCTCCATCACTGAAGAAGGCCGCGCTGAAAATCTGAGTCAGAAGTAATATTTGCATCCACCTTGGCATGGGGCCCTACCTTTAGACTATGTGTGAATGCATCTAAGTTGGCGCCAGAATGTGATGAAATGTGAGCATGAGGCTGTGTTCCTGTTTCCTTTTTGCTTGTTGTCGTCGCTTGTGATGTTTGTTTGCAAGAATAGGGGGGCCTCCAATACATGACACCTCTGCCCTCGGCATGAGAAATGGGCCACAGATGAAGCCACTATAGGCACTCAACTCGCACATAAATGCAAGTATCAGGGCAGATAGACAGACAGAGATGGATAGAGATAGATAGATAGAGATAGATAGACATAGATAGAGATAGATAGAGATAGATAGAGATAGAGATAGAGATAGATGGAGATAGATGGAGACAGATAGAGATAGATAGAGATAGATAGAGATAGATAGAGATAGATAGAGATAAATAGATAATGATGGAGATAGATATAGATGGATTTAGATAAGATATAGGTAGATATGTATAGATAGATAGATGTAAATAGATACAGATGGATATAGATAGATGTGGCTAGATAGGCAGGTGAAGAGTAAGAGGCTTGATGACCAGGGTCAATCTGCAGCTTTGGTCAATAAGCCGGTGGCTGGACTTGCTTTGTTATAGCTTTGACCATTGAGAATTTGCAAGATCTTATTCCCTCCCATTCAGTTGGAAGCAGCCTTTTGCTTCCAGATGAAGATGCTTTGATTCACTGATTACCTTGTGTCAATCCAGATAAGCCTCATTCCATTTGTTTCATGTTTTTTCCCCCTGTTCCAAGCTTGTGCATCCCCTAACTTCCACTCAACCTATCAACATGATTCAACATGGGGGGTTGAGTTCCAGCTTTCCAAACATCTCATGGGTTTCGGGGAGAGGCCCCTCATTCCAGGAAGAAACTTCTGACCTTTTTTGCAGGTATGGAATTCCGGAACCGCAAGGAACCGGAGAGGGCCCTGCTGGTCCATCGCAGCCTGGACCTGGACGGAAACGTCTTTTGGACTCTCAGCTGGCTCTGTTGGACCATTTCTCCCATTTAAATAGTATATACTATCTGTATATATATATATATGTATGTACATATATATATATATTTGGGGGGGTATGGGCCATCAAATAATGAACCCAGAATATTTCCGTGTCAATTTTGTTTTGGCGGTCGTTATTGTTGATCCATGTTTTGGGTGGGGTTATTCTGTAAATGTCAACCCAGGATTCATAAGCCACCTGTTTATGAAGGGGGGTTACCATGTTTTGGGGGTAAGACCCCCAATCAAAAGTCAGGGTCTATTAGTCCAGGGTTAACATTAATGAGGATTATTTGGCATGAATCCGCCTGTTTAAAGTTTGAGAGAAACCCACGCAATTTTTGCATTTCATGCAATGTGTTATTGCTACTATCTGCTATCCACGGGAAATCGATACTCGCAACTGTCTAGAGTCTAGCCATTTTGATGCCTTGTCTTCCGTCCATTTTCTGGATGGAGAATGGAAAGAACCTCCTTCGCCGGAAAATCCACTGAATGTCATTAAAATCCGCAGTTTCTGGGATCCAACTGGAAGCTTTCTCTGTGGCCACACACGGCAACCAGGAAGTCCGATGGCCACCTGGTGGACAACCTGCATGAAATGCTCTTCTCCGTTGCTCAGTGGTCTGCAGAGGAGCAGACCCTGGAAATCGATGGGAAGGAAGTGGCCAAGGCTGGGCATCCAAAGGACAGAGCGCCACCAGATGATAGTTAAATGTAGTGAAAAATCACAAGAGACATCGAGACTTCACATATGTTAATAATTGTTAATATATCTTAACATGATGTACCATTTTATCCATGTTTATCCATGTTTGGCGAATGGGTCTGGCGACGGATGAGAAATCAGGGGTTGTTGGGAGGACCAACATGTTGGAAGTATTCTGTACCAGCTAGTTTACGGTGAAACATGTGCTCCGGTGTTTTGACCCTGTACCCCAAAATGGGCATGCATAGGTAGGCGATTTGACAAAAAAATGTTTGTTTATGAGAGATATCAGAGGAAGTGGGTTTCAGCCGACCAAAACTCTCCATTTTCAACAACAGCCATCAGGATTAAGAGCAACGATTCCAACCGCAAAAGAGATTCTAATGCTGATAGGTGCAGTTTTGAACATATCCAACACGTATACAGTTGGGGTTCCATGAAGATCCATGAAGTGGATATGCCCACCTCAGGACCTCGCAGGCTTTAGCTCCTTTTAAATGAATATGCGCAGCGCTGGAATGGCAGGTGACTTCCGAGGAGTACGTGTGTCCAGACTTCTTCCTTGCCTGCTACTTTGTTGTTCGCGGGGAGCCAGAGATGTGTGACTATGTCTTGACGAGTGCCAAAGCACAAAAGGAGCGAGATGCCCTGAACAAACGGGCGATGGAGGCATGCTGGGCAGATGTTCAACTCTTGCTAACTTAAGCTGAGTTCATTTAAGTTCATTTAAGTTCATTTAAGCATTCCGTGAAATCCCCTTTCGGTTGCCTGGCATGGCAGCTAAAGTCCTTGCTGGAAATGCCGCGACTCTTTCAGGCGATTGAGCAAAAAGGAGGGCGAGACTACTTCAAAGAGCTTCGGGAACAGAAGGCCAAAGAGGAGGAGCGTGAGAAAGAGAAGAGAGAAGCTGCAGCAGCGCGGAAGGCCTGCTTAGAATTTTCGAAGTTGATGATAATGTGGATGCATAATGAAGCTACAGGAGTCGTATTGCTTGACCGTCTTGAGCTTTCAAGATGGACCACAATCAACTTTCATGGGTTGAAGTGAATTCCCAACAGCAGTGCTTAGTTTCAATCTCTGGGTTGGGAACTGGAACCCTGGAAACTGAACCCAATTCCTCGATCTGTAGGCTGCCGCGCCGAGCGGTGGGCACAGTTCGGGCGGCCCTCCGCCGGCCGCAAAGTGGTGGGTTTGTCAGTGACTGGGTCACTGATGAGGTAAACCCAATGCCATAAACCATCCCCAAGTGGGGTCTGTTATTGGGCATACCCAGAAACTGTATGATGTGTCTCCCTTTTATGGTTACTGAGATGGTTTGTGGCATTGGCTTTGCCACAGTAACAGTAAGATAAATTCCCGCGTGTATTTTGACACTTAAAAAATTACTTATAACTGGTGATGCTTCCTGGGGTTCCTGGAGTGCAACGCCAAAGTCCGTGCCAAGGAAGTGTGGATGGAAGTTCGCCATCAAACCCTTCCAGGGCAAGTGCACTGTTTCTCGAGGTACAGCTTGTGGTGGCGTCTGTGTGCAGAAGTAGCATCAAGGGCTCAAGGGGGATGGTGTGACCATGGATGGAGTTTGACCATTCACTGAGAAACACGTTTTGGACGGGACACGTTTTGAACGGGATAGCAACATGGCTGAGCCAGATCTCATCCCGTACTACATATAGGTCGCTACATTCTGTATGCTTCCTAACGAGAAGTGCTCGACAAGTGCTTGTTGCCTCACACTGCACAACGGTTGAGCCGTTGGAGTCAACAGCACTGGCATTAGCATGATTTGTGCCAAACCTATGCGATGCATGTGACAATCTCCAAACTCTTACGACGGAGTGTGGAAGGCAGTTTCACAATTCCTTGCCGACACTTTCAAATTTTGAAAATATTGAACTCCACGAACTCCATGCGAAACTCCATGAGGGAAAACATGCTGAAGAAGATATCATCATAAATATCATCATAAATAGACACAGATTGAAATTGATCAAATGAGCTGGCGATGGAGAGAGAGAGAGAGAGAGAGATAGATGAGAGAGATGAGAGAGATGAGAGAGATGAGAGAGATGAGAGAGATGAGATGAGATGAGAGAGATGAGAGAGATGAGAAAGAGGAGAGAGACGAGAGAGATGAGAGAGATGAGAGAGATGAGAGAGATGAGAGAGACGAGAGAGACGCGAGAGATGAGATGAGAGGAGATGAGAGGAGATGAGATGAGATGAGATGAGATGAGATGAGAGGATGAGATGAGATGAGATGAGAGGAGATGAGATGAGATGAGATGAGAGGAGAGGAGATGAGAGGAGAGGAGATGAGATGAGAGAGATGAGAGAGATGAGATGAGAGGATGAGATGAGATGAGATGAGATGAGAGGAGAGGAGATGAGATGAGATGAGAGAGATGAGAGAGATGAGATGAGAGGATGAGATGAGATGAGATGAGATGAGCGGAGATGAGATGAGATGAGATGAGAGGAGATGAGATGAGAGGAGATGAGATGAGAGGAGAGGAGAGGAGATGAGATGAGAGAGATGAGCGGAGATGAGATGAAAGAGATGAGATGAGAGGATGA